TAAGGAAGGAGGAGAGATGACAAAGCTGGAGAGCGGAGCAGGAGGGAGGCCACTCCCTCCCAGACACCCCGAATCTACCAGGGAGGGAGGGCACCCCCTCTAAGACACCCCAAATCTACCAGGGAGGGAGGACAGCCCCTCCCAGATACCTCGAATATACCACAGAGGGAGGGCACCCCACCCAGACACCCTGAATCTACCAGGGAGGGAGGGAACCCCCTCCAAGACACCCGAAATATACCAGGGAAGGAGGGCACCCTACCCAGACACCCCGAATATACCAGGAAGGGAGGGAACTCTCTCCAAGACACCCAAAATATACCAGGGAAGGAGGGTACCCCACCCAGACACCCCGAATACACTGAGGGAAGGCACCCCCACCCAGACACTCCGAATCTACCAGGGAGGGAGAGTACCCCCTCCCAGACACCCCGAGTCTACGAGGGAGGGAGGGCACCCCCACCCAGACATGCTAATCTACAAGGGAGGGAGCGCACCCCACGCAGACACCCCAATCTACAAGGGAACTGACCACAATCGGGAGCAGGGCTAAGTTAGGATAGGCCTCCAGAACCGTCCCCCACTAGCCTGAGCACTTTCAAAGCAAGCGTCCAGGTGAGTCATCTCTGAGCCGGTGCAGAATAAGCGAGGGGAAAACAGAAGTGGAGTGATCGTGGAGCACAGAATCAGTACATGTTCCAACAGCCTGTTCTTAGAACAATAAACAGACAAACCACTGGCGAACCTACAGAAGGGGGTGTGTGGGGTCCTGGGAAGACAGCCACTCCCTGGGCTCCCTCCCCTCCATGCCAGTCCACCTGCCTCCCCTGAATCAGATGGGGGCCGTGGGCTGTGCATTCTTCAGGACCTCCCCGACAAGAAGTCAGCTGGCTCTTGCTCCCTCAAAGACAACAGCATTGGGAGTGCGCAGCCAGTATTAGGGGTGGGCGGGTCATGGGCCCTGGTGAGGGGCGGGGGTAACTCTGCCTCTCTCCACTAAGAGCCCAAGAACGAGCTGAAAAGGCAGCTTGAGTCCCAACCTCCGTGAGGCCAGGAAATGGGGGCTGGGGGGGGCACTTTCTGCAGGAGCCTGGGGGTGGGGACAGCACCTAGAGCCCCAGCCCCATAAAGGTGGGGGACCAGTTCACCATCCATTGAATGTAGCCAGTCCTGACCCAATAAGCTCAAGGAGCCAACCACCCAAGAGAAGACGGGCTGACTTAGAGGGAGCCAGCACCAGTCATGGCAGGAGGAGGGGACACAGACAGATGCAGGCCAGTGAGGGCCTTCGAGGAGGCCCACATGCAGTGTGCACCCCCAGACTTCCAGAGCTAAAAAGTGAATCTCCATAAATGCAGTGATAGAGAGAAGAGCCACGTTGGGATGCAAATCAGAAGCATGGAAGATGAAGTGGAAAAAAGTCTCAGAATACTGAGCAGAAAGAAGGAAATGACAGAGCCGGGAGAAGTGACACTGAGTAATGAGGGCTCCAGAGTGACAAACAGGAGTAGGCGGAGAACAACCCTTCAGTAAAGGAAGCAAGCAGCTGCTGATCCGAGGTGTTGCTGCGGCGCGGCTGGGCAGGGCTACCTGACTGTGGGCAGGATGGCAGAGAGCCCTGAATGCAGAGAGCAAGGCCCACAGACAGGCGCGAGTGCGGAAGGAAGCAAAATCCCACAGAACCCAGGGAACCGGGCGTGGCCCCTCTGGGACCACCGGGCCGGGAGGCAGCTGGAAGTCAAAGAGCAATGTCCACCCCAGGTCCAGCCCAGGCGCATTCACCTGCGAGGGCAGAGGGAGGGTCAGGCGGGGACGCCCCCTGCCTCCCCACATCCAGACGCACGTGTGTGATGAGAAGGAACCCTCACAAATGAACTGGAGCAGAAAGCTTGAGATGGAGCAGAAAAGGCGGTGAGCAACGAGACGGGTCTGGATGTCTGCGTGTCCACACGGACCTGCTCCATAAGGCGCTGCACCGGCTCCTGCTGGGAGGGAGCTCAACAGAGGGCGCTGACGCACGGCACAGGCCCTCTGCGCACAGGCAGGGTGCGGTGGGTGCGGTCTCCCGGCCACAGGGAGCCCCGGCAGCCCCGTGACTGCACCCACAGCGGAAGGAAGTGCCGCTGTGCGCGTCTAGGCCCTCCGCCTCGTGCGGGGCTGGAAGCTTCCACTCTGCACTTGCAGAGCCCAGTGGCCGCAGATGGGCACCCCACCGAGAGACCGAGAGACTGAAGAGGCGCCTTCCTGGCGACCCCGCCATGGCGCAGGGCAGGGGAGGGAGCCCGCCGCAGGGCACAGGGAGAGGGGAAGCGGCCCAGCCAGCCACACAACGGTGGCTGCTTAAACCATAAGCGGTTTGTCACATGGCGATGGATAACGCGGCGGGGTGACGACACCATGGAGGCCTCTCTGAGGCAGTGGGCAGGGAACGGGGGGAGGTGCTGGGCTTGGGGGAGGCGTGGAGCAAAACTGACATTTAATTTTCAAAAATTAAGAGAGAAATTCCTGTCTGATGATGAGTGAAGGTAAAGGGAACTAAGTACTAAAAGAACGGAACGCACACGGGACTTCAGGTTGACAAGGAGAAAAACGGCATGAAAAGCAACCTGAGCAAACCAGCAAAACCAAACAATAAAGACGGAAGGAATAAAATCAAGCGCATCAGCCACTGCACTGAACGCTTAGACTGAATTTTTCTATCAGCTGTTTTTTCTTAACACAACCTAACAGACTTCGACTTTACCTACACACTGTTCCTAAGAATCGCTCTTAGAGCAAAGTGATTTTTTAAGAAGCCTGACATGAATGGAGCTGACTTCTGGGCGAGACAAGGGAGGCTGCTGCTCCTGCCACTGGGAAACGGCCGAGGCAGACATCACAGGGGCTCTGGGCTGCTGCGGGAGCGCGCCCAGGGAGAAGTCTCCTGTAGCTGAGGCCCCCGCCTGTCCTTCCCAGGGCGCAGCTGGAGGCAGGGGCCCCGGGCCAAGGGAAGCAGGCAGAGCTGTGGGGGCCCGTGGCCTGTGCTGAGCACCTACAGACCCCAGGGGGGCTGCCCTGGAAGGACAGGGAAACCTCTGCCATCTTCCCCCACAAAGGGAATCAGGTCCCACCAGAGGGCGGAGCCTGCAGCAACACCTGACAGCCATCTCCTCCTGACTTCCGGAAGCAGAGGTATCCCGAGTCCCACTGAAGCTGGAGTGCAGGCTCACCCCGCTCAAGCTGACTGCATCAAGGAGATAAAATCTTTCCCTGTTTATCTGCCTGGCAGAGGAGAAGACCCAGCAGTCCTCTTACAGGAAAGCAACTTCATCTTCAGTCTCCACGCTTTAAAAGTTTACTTATAATGAGAGGCACACTTAAACAATTCTAAGACAGTGCAGCACGTGATAGAAAATGAGAAGAAAAGACAGATGAAATGCACAAGACGGGGAATTTCAACAGAGAACTGGCATCTCTAAAACACCATGTCTGACACCTACAGATATACCCTTCTCATGTGCACCCAGAACACTGACAGCGTAAGTTGTGGGTGTGTGTCCATGTCCATGGACTGGACTCATAGAGGACGCGTTCTCTGACCGACAAGCAGAGAGGACCTTGGAAACAGAGGCTCCGGCCCAGCTGGGGCTCTGGGTGACGGCAACCCAGCTGCCAGCCTGACCGCAGCCTCCCGAGACCCTGAACCTGAACCCAGCCACGCCGCCCCCAGTTCCTGACCCCCAGAAACGAGAGAGAGTAAACAGTCATCTCTCCAGCTACTGCATTTTGGGGTAATTTGTTACACAGCAACAGAGAAGTAACACCTTTCCCAGCTTCCGGAGTGGGAAGCTTAGATTATTGATTTTACACATTTCTTCTTTTCCAACGCACGCATTAAAAAGTGATAAACGTCAGGGGCCGGCTGGGTGGCGCAGTGATTAAGTTCACAAGTTCAGCTTCTGCGGCCCGGGGTTCACCAGTTCGGATCCCCGGTGCGGACATGGCACCGCTTGGCAGGCCACACTGTGGTAGGCATCCCACATATAAAGTAGAGGAAGATGGGCATGGATGTGAGCTCAGGGCCAGTCTTCCTCAGCAAAAAGAGGAGGATTGGCAGCAGATGTTAGCTCAGGGCTAATCTTCCTCAAAAAAAAAATAGTGATAAGTGTCTCTCTGAGCACCAATCAAACCCAAAGAAAAGAGAAGGAAGGGCATGCGAGGAGAAGATGTCAGGGAGACGGGAAACACGCACACACAGAGGAACCCGACAGAGCCAAAAGTTGTTTTGCAAAGATTAACAAAATTGATAAATCCTCAGCAAGATTAAGGAAGAAGAACCCAAAACACCAGTAAGAATGAGAGGAGACATAACTGTGGGTCCTAAAGACTGAAACACGGGAGGGCATCAGGAAGAACTTTATTTTTGAAATGGTTTTAGTCCTAGGCTGGTGCGTGTTGAAGACATGACGCACACAGAGACGCCCGGGGTCCTCACCAGTTTGTGAGACTGGACGCGCAAGCACAACCACGCCGCCTCAGCACCGCGGGCTCAGGCCCTGGGCCGGGGCTCGCGGACGTGGGACATGAGTCTCGGGGCAGGAGGGGTCAGGGCAGAGTCCCAGCCCCCAGGCAGGCACGGCTCTCAGGGCTCAGGGTCTCGGGTCAGTTTGCTCCATGCCTCAAGCCCAACGCCTCCCCTCCCTGCCCTCTCCACCGCCTCAGATGAGGCCTCGAGTGCCTTCGCCCCACACCCACCCGTCTCGGTTACCTGTCACTATGTGACAAGCCACTAGTGGTTTAAACAGCAGCCATTCAGGGTTGACCAGCTGGTTCTCCTGTGGTCTGGTGGGGGAGGCCCAGCTCCTGAGTTTCGCTTCTCTCTCACGACCTGTGTGGGGTCCTCCCGTCTGGATGCTTACGATGGGGCCCCAGCTCTCACTCCCACTGCGAGTCTGGTTTCTAGGAGCCATCAGTGTCGCTGTGGTTTCTGGCTATAGAGTCCACATTTACCAGTGGGGCTCAGAGTTTCCCCAGACCCTAAGCGTGTGGGTCTTGATGCCCCCAACCCTCTTCCTGCTGCTCTCAGTGGTCCTGACCCTGACGAGTGAGAGTGGGGCCAGGAAAAGCGAGCAGACCCCCTGACATCCATCCATCTCAGACCTGGGGACCCCATTCCCCGAGGGGCAAGGGCACTGGGACCTTCTGAGGGGGCCTGGACACCCTGTGTGGCTACTACAACCAGAGTGAGGCCGGTGGCCACAAGGGCCCGGGTCCAGGTCATCTGAAGGACTTGATGCTATAAATTTGACAACTTGGATGAAATGCAAAAATTCATTAAAAACATATTTACTAAAGTTAACACAAAAACAGAAAATCTGAATAATCCTATATCTATTAAAGAAATCGAATCAAAGATGTTTTCAAGATCAAGCCCTTATTTAACATCCAATCAGACCTACAGGGCAGAGACCCGTCAGAATCTGAATAGCCTGGTGAGGACGTGATAAAGACTGCTCTGTGGATGGAGGCCCGGGAGCCGCAGGGCAGGGCTGTGCCCACTGCGCCCACTACCCCACGTGCAGGGCAAGGCCAAGGCTGCCAGCAGGTGAGCTCCCCAACGCCCTCGAGCAAGCTGCCCTCCCTCCAGGGCAGACAGGACCACAGGGCTTCTGATCTGGCAGGAATTGGAGACCTGGCCTCCCCCACAATAGAACAGGGAGTCACTGAAAGCTGTGATTACATTTGTGACCTGGGTGGCAGAGTGGCAGAGGGGGAGGGGCAGGTGCTAACATCCAGAACATTCTGTCAACTGGACTGGCAGAAACATGTCGACAGAAACGAACAGCACGCGGCTTGTTTACAGCAGTCTCTTCTCAAGCAGCTCAAACCTTTACAGCCCCAGAAAAGCAGCAGAAATGAGAAGAAGAGGTGTCTGAATAAATCACCAGAGTTACATCGAATCCCAATAGATCCCCCCCCACCCCCACCACACACGAGACACCTGAGGACAGGACGCCCAGCCGAGGGTCGGGTCGGTGATGTCTCAGTCAGTACAGGCGACACCTTGCCATTAGTATCTGTAAACTTTTTCAGATTCTTAATATTTCATGTTAAAAAATATATTCTGAGGCTGTGATGCAGGCGGGCGAAGTGACAGGTTTCCAGAGAGAGCTGTGAATCGGTGATTTTCGCTCAAAGTCGATCCCAATTTTAGTTTCATTACTTCATCCTGTAGCTTTCTGCCCTTGGGGAGAAAAGGAGGGGGTGGAAGTTAGCCAGGCGGGCGGACCTGGGACAGCATTGCACCTCTGGCTCTGACAGGCTGGCCCCATGGATGTGAGCAGCGCCGTCACCTGCTCAGGGGCGGCCCCTCCTCAAGGAGCCAGGTGGGCACGCCTGCCCCACCTCCCCTCCTTGTGAGGACCACCACCTCTCCAGACAGACACGTGGGCTGCTCGCCTGGGCCCCCCCCAGGGCCCACCTTGGTGTCCTGGGCACACAGCCATCTGAAGAAATGCCAATCAACGAACAGGCAAAGGGAGAGCCAGGCTCTCCTGCTCCATCCCCAAGGGGCTCGTTGACCAACCTGCCGACCATGATCGCACCTGAGACCCACACCTGCCCTGGGCAGGCAGGGCCATGAGGGCCACCCTCGTTCACAGACACAGGGATGGCCGAGCCTGGAATCAGGGGCAGGCTTTCTGCTCCAAATCCCACATTCCCAGACAGTCTGCCGGGCCAGAAAGAGGCGACAGGGGCACGAGGCCCCGCGGCCCTCAGGTGGGCCAGAGCCAGCAGCCCAGAGCTGGCCCTTTCCAGCCTCTGCCTCACAGAACTGGGCCAGCAGCACCTGTGTCTGCAGGGCTGGGACCCACCCACCCCAGGGAGGGGGCACTTCTCTCTCCTCCTTCGTGCTCCCTCCTCCTCCCCCCTCCCTCCTCCTCCCCCCTCCCCTCAGTCCTGCCTCCCTGGGGCATAACCCGGACCTCCACCTCCAGCCCAGGCACCCTGAGACTCCGCACCCCCTCCTCCCCTCATAGTTGGGGTCGAATCCACATTCAGGTTTCTGTGTTATGAGCAGGTAAACACTGCTTGCTGCTGATCCAACAAGTATCTGCTGGTGCCACTTTCTTTCCCGTGGAAATCTGTGTTCTTTGTGGAATCCGGACCTGCTCCTTTAAAACACTTACTTTGTTTCCTCCACACCTGTCACTGAATCCTCCCAAACTGTGGAACTCCGCTCCACATCCCTCTCCCCAGGTCAGTCCTCAGACTCATCTGTCTCTGCTGGAGAGACCCTCTGGGGTCCTCGCTGGCTGCCACTGGGGCTCCTGGCCACTCGTTGGTCAGCTCCCTTTTTTGGGGACACTTGCTTCCTCCTCGGTCTGCCCCTTGTTGTGGGAGAAGGCGTCCCGCGGTGGCTTCCAGGGACGGCTGTGTGGGAAGAGTCCTCGCCTCCACTCTGTGCTGGCGCCTGGCTTGGCGTCTGTGCACGAGCCCCCACCCAGGCTGCAGACGGCTCTGCCACCGTGAGGAGCGGCTCCACCGTCTTTCCTGCTCCTCAGCGTGTGCCCCATTCCCTCCCCACCGCCACAACCTCACGGGGTCCCCTCCTCTCGGTTCAGGACCCCGAGCCTGGGGCGGGGCACAAGGCAGGCTTTCCATCTGGACACGCGTTCCTTGGTGAGAAACCTTCTTGCGTCTTCTGGATTCACCTCTCCCAGGATCTGCCCGGTGGCGTCACCCCTCGGCCAGTCCTCCAGGTCAGCTCCTCCGTTTCCCTCTCTCCTCTTCCCTTCGCTCTGCTTCCTAGGGGACTCACTCCACTTCACCTATTGATTCACTTTTTTTTTAATTTTTAAAAATTTTTGCCATATTTTTAACTTAACTCCGAGTTCTTGGCAATCTGAGAGTTCTGTTTCTATAACCACTTGTTTCGTGGGAGCAAAATTTTCTATTATCATCCAGAGGATCTCATTCTCGTTTTCAATTTTTAATTTCTTTCCAGTGGCCCCGCCTCTTCCACGAGCACCTTCCCAGGCGGTGGCAGCGGATCCAGCCTCCTGCTTCTTGGGCCTTCCCCAGAGGCTGCTCGAGCCTGGCTCCCAGCCCCTCCAGAAGGAGGCGCTAAAACGAGATTCCATCGGGTGTGTGTGGCGCGGGGCTTCAGCTGGGAGGCAGCCTTGTCGGCTGGGTCAGGCCGGGGATGCCCGAGGGTCAGGATTCTCTGGTCATTTGTGTTGGTCAGGTGACTTCTTCAGTGAAGACCCTCCTATCTTGCGACTAGAGGGGATGGGCTGGCCCCCAGCACCAGCGCAGGCCGGAGCCTCCCCACTCGCCGCGCTCAGGAAAGCCTCCGGGCCTTAGTGGAGTGGTGCCTCCTTGTTCACGCTCTCCAGAGACCACACCCTAGGCCTCCTGCTGGGTGGGCTGGAGTCAGCCGCTGACAGGCAGGGTGGGGAGGAGAGCCTGGGGCCTCATCTGACCTCGCACACTTTCACCTCTCACCCTGTTTCAGTTTCGCAGTCCTGTGTTTGGGGGTTAGCTTCCTGTGGGCACTCCTCTCAGTTGGCCCTTCCACTGCCTCACTAGGTGGCTTTCTTCTTCCCAAACCACACTGGCCTGAGTGTGGGTTAGGATGCAGGCCTAGCAGCTGTAACAGAGATCCAGATGATGGCGGCGGAACACCAGGTGGAGGGTTTACCTAAGAGGGCAGCTCTAGGTGTTGGAGAACATTACTCTGTTCCGCAATCCAAGGCTTTCACCTCAGGGTCTGAGATGGCTGCCCCAGCTCCTGCCATCATGTTTGCATTCCAGCCAGAGAGAGGGGAGGACAAGCTCAGGAAGTTTATGCACATTTTCCACTCCCATCCTATTGGCCAGAAGGTAGTCACATGCCCTCGTCTAGCCACAAGGGAGGCTGGGAAGCACGGCCTTTAATGGGGTGGCACGTGCTCTGTGACAAATGACAACAGGAGAAGTCGACATTTCTCCACTTTCTCTGCTCTGAGGAGTCTGCATACTTTGCTCCTTTCCTGTCATTCTGCTGGAGTCTCGGGGCGGACTGAAGATTAACCCATGTGCAGAACGGCTGTGCACCCCTGGAGGGCAGGTCCACTGGCTGGCCTGTTCTCAGCATGTCCCTCTCCTGTCTGGCTGTTTCTGGCTCTCACCAGGCGTCCATCCTGGCCGTCCACTCTCACACCAGCTCTGGCCGGGGCGCTTGTGTCTCCCACAGCCGGCACACCAGCTGCGAGAGCTGCTCACTGACCACTGGCCTGGCGCTCGGCCACCACACTGCTGTGCAGAAGGAAACCAGAGGGGAAGGAGGCAGGCTGGACATGACACCTCTGCTTCCGCGGGGCTGGGCGGGAGCTCGTATGGTGCACACATGTCTCACCTCGCATGCCCGCCCTGGGCTGCAGCGAGGCCCGCCCACGGGGACTCCGCGCCAGCTGCGGACAGGCCAGGGCTCTGGCTCCAGTGCTGCCTCAGGGTGGAGGCTCCAGAGGACAGGCCTGGGTTGGCGCACGAGCACTTGGGGCCCAGGCACTCCTGCTCACGGGAGCTCCGCCAGGACCAGCCCTCCTGCGGGAGGCGGAAGGACAGGCTCACCCCCAGGGCAGGCAGAGCTGAGCCGTCCTCTCCCCAGGACTGGACAGACTTGTTCCCCACCCGGGCGAAAAGACACAGCACTCTTCTTTTTGGCTAGTGGTCCTGTGTGGGCGGTATAAAAAAAGATGGTCACTTGAAATGGACTGGGCCTTGGGAGAGTCAGGTCCTCAGAGGGCAATTTCAGAAAACAAAAGGATAATCAAGATCATCTCCTAAAATGAAGCTATCAGACCGCCCCGCTATGCCCGCCGACACATCCCACCAGCCTCAGGGGCCCCTCTCGCCCAGCTGTGCTCCACGGCCTGGATCTCATTTCCAATTGTTTTGAACTTGAGAACCTTCTACCGCTGGCCTGGCCGATCCTGAACAGAGTTGCGAGGGGAGATGAGGAGCGTCTTTCGTGTACTTTCCCTAGCACCTCAATCACAGCCCAGACGCGCAGGCGGGCCCTGCTGGAGCCGAGCGGGATGCAGGAGGGCAGGAAGGAGCTGCCAGAACAGCCAACGCCACCGGGAAGAGCAGGACAGTGTGCTTCGACACCGCCAACTTCCACGGGGCGAGACGGGCTGCTTCCCAACTGTGTTCCTGAGAACTTACACGTCCCGCCTTCCTCTGGCTCTCCCGATGCCAGGACGTGGCAGGAAGGAAGCGAATGCTGTGGGAACACTTGGGCCTCTGCGAGCCCAGAGCTGCACGGACCGTGTGGCCGCGGGGAGTGGGCATTTCCAGCTCTCCTTGGTGGGGCAGCACATCCCTCTTCCCTGAAGCTCCGAGAGTCACCTGGGAGCCAGGCCCTCAGCAGCAACCCAGGGTGGCCGAGCTGCCCACGTCTCAAGAAACTTGGGTAGATGTCTTTAATCACAGAAAAGCAGAGAGAGGCTTTAAAGCCTGAAGTAAACTCAGTGGCTCGTGTCCCCAAGGGGGCAGCACAGAGTTGCACACAGGCTCGGGGTCCAGACAAACCTGGGTTGTCTCAAAGGCCAGCTGTACCACGTCACCTTGGGCCGGTCGCCCCATCTTCCAGGGGCTCGGCTTTCTGCCCTGTGAAGTGGGCAGACACCACCTTCCCCACGTGGTAGCTGTGACAGAGAAGGAAGACACGAGCCTGCGCTGGAGCAGGCATTCGAGACCATCCACTGCGGTTTCCTTCGTGTCACTCTCTTCTGGTCCACTGGCTCTCCCTCCCTCGGGCAGCAGGGGTCACCGGGGAACAGTGCAGAGCACAAGAGCCAGTGCTCAGGTTTCAGTTTCAAAATAGACTTTTTAAAAATTAATAGATTTTCTTTCTGTAGAGTAGTTTCCATCCTCCACCAGACGGTCACTTGTCACAAGGGAAGGAGCAGCACTGACACATCGTCAGCACGAGTCCACAGTCCACACGAGGCTTCACTCGGCGTCACACCTTCTGCGGGCCTGGACGTGTGAGGACACGGACGCACCGTCATAGCATCGCAGAGTTTCACTGCCCCACCGCCTCTGAGCTCCACCTGTTCAGCCCTCTCTCCCCCAAACCCTGGCAAAGAATGATTTTTTTTACTGTCTCCATAGTTTTACCCTTTTCCAGAATGCTGTATAGTCGAAATAATAGAGTACGTAGCCTTTTCAGATTGGCTTCTGTCACTTAGTAACGTGCATTTAAGGTTCCTCCATGTCTTTTCATGGCTTGAGAGCTCATTTCTTTCCAGGGCTGAGTAATACTCTACTGTATGGACGGACCACAGCTTATCCAGTCTCCTACTGAAGGATGTGTTGGTTGCTTCCAAGTTTTGACAATTACGGACAAAGCTGCTAGAAACATCCGCGTGCAGGTTTTTGTGTGGACACGTTGTCAACTCTGGGGTAAACGCCAAAGAGCATCATTGAGGGATGGATAGTTAAGAGTAGGTTGAATTTTGTTAGAAATTGCCAAACTGTCTTCCAAAGTGTCTGCACCATTTTGCATCCTCACCAGCAACGAATCTGAGTTCGGGACGCTCCACATCCTCACCAGCATTTGGTGTTTTCAGCGTTCACAGCCATTCTAACAGGTATGTGGTGGTATCTGCTTGTTTTAATTTGCAATTCCTAATGACCTGTGATGTCCAGCATCTATATAGTTAACATCTATATATCTTCTTTGATAAGGTGTCTGTTGAGAGCTGTGGATCATTTGTTAATTGGGTTGTTTTCTTATTGTTGAGTTTTTAAGACTTCTTTGTATATTTGGGATAACAGTCCTTTATTAAATGTGTCTTTTGCAAATATTTTCTCCAAGTCTGGGGCTTGTCTTATTCTTTTGACAGCGTCTTTCACAGAACAGAATTTTTAAATTTTAATGAAGTCAACTTACCCGTTTTTTCTTTCATGCTCCTGAAGTTCTATGTCAATAGTCATCGCCAGCTCAAGGTCTACCAGATTTTCTCCCATGTTGTCTTCTGGGAGTTTTGTATTTTACATGTAGGTCTGTGATCCATTTTTTTTTATAACTTTGTTGAGATATAACTGATATACAAAAAAACCTACATATATTTAATGTATACAGTCTGATGAGAGTGAGCCACTTTGACTTAATTTTTGTGAAGGGAGTAAGGTCTGTGTCTAGATTCATTTTTCTGACATGGATGTCCAGTTGTTCCAGCGCTATCTAGAAGTGTTGCAGACTGTCTTTGCCCCATTGAGTTGCGTTTCTTCCTTTGTCAAAGATCAGTTGACTATATTTAGGCGAGTCTATTTCTGGACTCTCTCTTCTGTTCCATTTGTCTGTCCTTTCCATCGATCAATTTGTCTGTGCTTTCACCAATGCCCCACTGTCTTGATCACTGTAGCTTTATGGTAAGTCTTGATGTTGGGTAGTGTTAATCCTCCAAATTTGTCCCTCTCCTGCCATAGCATGTTGGGTGTTCTGGATCTCTTGCCTCTCCATATAAACTTTACAATTAGTTTGTTGATATCCACAAAATAACTTGCCAGGAGTTTGAATGAGATTGCATTGAACCTACAGACCAAGTTGGGAAGAACTGACATCTTGACAATATTGAGCCTTCCTAATCATGAACACGGAACATCTTTCCAATATATTTGGGTCTTTCTTGGTCTCTTTCATCAGAGTTTTGTAGTTTTCCTCATATAGATTTTGTACATATTTTGTTAGATTTATGCCTAGCACAATTTTTTTTTGGTGCTAATGTAAACGGTATTGTGTTTTTAATTTCAAACTCCACTTGTTCATTGCTGGTATACAGTAAGTGACTGACTTTTGTATATCAACCTTGTATCCTGCAACCTTGCTATAATCGCTTGTTAGTTTGAGGAACTTTTTTGGTTGATTCTTTGGGATTTTCTACTTGGACAATCATGTCATCTGAGAACAAACACAGTTTTATCTCTTCCATCTTAATCTGTGTAACCTTTATTTCTTTTTTTTTCTTTTATTGACTTATTGCATTAGCTAGGATTTCCAATACGATGTTGAAATAGTGAGGAGGACACACTTACCTTGTTCCAGATCTTAGGGGAAAAGCATCTAGTTTCTAACATCAAGTATGATGCTAGCTGTAGTTTCTGTAGATGTTCTTTTTCAAGTGGAGGAAGTTCCCCTCTATTCCTAGTTTGCTGAGAGTTTTTATCATTAATGAGTGTTGGATTTTTTTTTTTGAGGAAGATTAGCCCCGAGCTAAGACCTGCTGCCAATCCTCCTCTTTTTGCTGAGGAAGACTGCCCCTGAGCTAACATCCATGTCCATCTTCTTCTACTTTATATGTGGGACGCCTACCACAGCATGGCTTGCCAAGCGGTGCCATGTCCGCACCCGGGATCCAAACTGGGGAACCCTGGGCCACCGAAGTGTAATGTGCAAACTTAACCACTGCACCACTGGGCCGGCCCCAGTGAGTGTTGGATTTTGTCCAACACTTTTTCTGCATCTCTATGATTATGTGATTTTTCCTCTTTAGCCATGATGTGATGCATTACACAAACTTATTTTCAAATGTTGAATGAGCCTTCCACACCTGGCATAGATTCCACTTGGTCGTCACAAATAATTCTTTTTAAACTTTGCTGAATTCAATTTGCTAATATTCTGTTGAGGATTTCTGCCTCTTGTTCATGAGAGAGATCGGCCTGCACTCTTCCCCTCACGTAACGTCTTTGGTCTTGGTATTAGGGTAATGCTGGCCTCACAGAGCGAGTTAGGAAGTATCCCTCGGCTTCCATCTTCTGGAAGAGATTGTGGAGTTGGTATAATTTCTTCCTTAACTGTTTCACAGAATTCATCAGTGAACCCATTGGAAAATTATTAACTATTGATTAAATTGAATAGATATTGGCCTAGTCAGATTGTCTGTTTCTTCTTGTGTGAGTTTTAGCACATAGCGTCTTTCGAGGAATTGGTCCATTTCATGTAGGTTATCAAATTTGTGAGCCTAGAGTTGTTCATAACACCAAACAGACTTTTGAGTCCATAATCTGAAGCAGTGGGTTCAGATCAGATATTTAGAAGCCCTGAGAGGTAGGATTTTGGGCGTCCAAGGATGAAGCTATATGCATTAACAACAGATTTGGAGAGAACAAAGGCTCACCTGAGGCAGGTGAAATTCTCCGGGCTGGGAAGGAAAATGGTCTGAGAAGAGGGGGCCGCGTCTGACCGGGTGGGGTCTCTCAAGTGGCCCAGCCCAGCCTGCCCCCCTCCCTCCCTCATCCCCGCCTGGGCCCCAGCAAAGAGGGGACAACAGTAATGGAGCCCTCAAATGAGGTGTGGGGATGGTGCCGCTGGCTCTGGGGGCATGGCCCAGCGCCACCCAGACCCAAGTGGCTGCACCAGGGTGCGACATGAAGATCTGAACCACCCCATGAGCCAGGGGCCTGGGTGGTCTCGGAGAACAGGCATGTCTTCCTGCGGCCGTGAGAAGCGAGGGCACACTGGCATCACGGTTCTCGTCAAGGCCTGGTCACTCTCGGCGAGGGCAGCGGCTTCCTTTCACTGGCTGGATGGCGTGACTGTGTGTCATTCAGGGTAGAACGGTGTCTTCCTTGATCACTGCATGACTCTCAGAATCCCAGACGTCTCTGCACACATAGTAGGTGCTTATCAGTGTCTGTGGAACAGATGGACGATGCCAGCAGCTGGGTGAGAAGACACCAACCGTCCCAGCACATGAACACTGTGGCCCGTCAGCACGTGGCCCAGATGCAGCCAAGGCTGTCTCCGCAGCGGCAGCCCTCACGGCCCCGCCAGGCTCTGCTGGGCAGGAGCGTCAGGTGAGGACCCCACAGACACGTCCTGTCCCATCCACTGATAACGCAGAGACTGCTGCCGGGGACCGTCAGTGGCGCAACGAACACATCTGAGGGCTCACACTCACAGGAACATTTCCTTATCCTCCGACCAACCGAAATTCTGGAACGTCCCACGCTGTAGGCACATAAAACGCCTCCTCACAATTTTAGAGAATGCATGCTCTGCAAAGGCATAGCAAGTTCTCTTTGATTTTTAATAAAACAATTTGTTTTTAAATAGAGCCAACAAATACTTACAATTTCCAAGTCCTGTGTAGCCTTCCTTATTTCCTCGAGTGGGACCATCCCCCGAAACCTTTTCCTTCGTTCGTGCATTTGCTCTATGTGCTGCTTTAGCTTTTCTTCTAAATCCCCCTCTTGGGCGGCACTGAGAAAGCCAAGGGCAATAAGAGAATGATTTTACACGTTGAGCCTCAGAGATTTTAATTCCAACAGGGGAGAAAGAGTTTTCCTTTTCTCCTCCAGAACAAATCGCAGACCTGGGGCTTGTATGCCCTCCCAATGCAGTGACAGCACAGCCGTAAGAGGTCCCCGCTCCCTCCAGGCCCCCGCTCCCTCCGGGCCCCCGCTCCCTCCGGGCCCCAGCTCACAGACAGACCCCCAGCCGCCTCTCCCAGCCCTTCTCCTTAGCTTAAAAGCCACTGGAACACACACTCTCCTTTAGAAACTTCAAATTCATTTAAGATATTATTTAGGACACAGCATGTTGTGCTACACAAAGGAGAAGAGTGTGTCTTTGTTTTCCTATGAAATACACACTTTTCATGAGTCCTCAGAAGAGCACAGAATATTGTATAAAGTGAGGATTTTAGACCTACTTGTTCTGCTAGCATCAGGGATTTGGGTTCCTGTCCTTTGACTTTAAACATGATCACACTCAGATGGCAGAGAGACCCGAGACCCTGCTGCAGTGTCTCAGACCCCACAGCCCCCCGTAGCGCCTCGGGCGTGGGGTGCCGAGGCGTGTCCCTCCAGAGCACCAATGCTCCCGCTGCCCGGCCTCCCACTGCACTGCACCCAGCAGCAAGGTCTGTCTCTTTCGTTTGCTTTTCAGAATAACTGTTGCGGAGACAGCATGGCAGCCTCCCGCATCCTGCACAACAGGCCCCAGGGTCCGGCCCACTCTCGCCAAGTGCCGCAGACTCCTGTTATTAGTAAACTCATGCCTGCAGGGCAGCGGGCAGTCTGTGGATGGACGTGGGCTGCTGTGAGCTTTCTAAGGGCCCATCAGGGTGACCCAGATGCCCTGGGGGATGTGAGAGAACATGCAAACGCTGTCAATTTTAGTCTAAACCCCAACGGCTGGGGGCTGATTCAATCTGCAGACCTGGAGTTTCTCCCAGAGCTCCTGGCCAAGAGGGGAATGATTCCCTGGGAAAAGAAGACCCCCTCGCTGCCCCATGCATTCCATCGCGACCTGCCTCCAGGCCTCTAGGACCTCAAGTGGTCTCCAGAGCTGCTACAACACACAGCGGGGGGCCGTGCAGCTGGGCAGCCGGCCAGTCCTCCCAGGAAAGGGCTGCGGGCCAGGAGCAGGTGCATCCCCCATGGCCCACAGCTCACCTTGGCTCTGGCTCTGAGCCCGGGGGAGCCTCCTCCACTGCATACCCGCAGGGGGCCTGGTGTGGGCAGGAGCAGGCCACAAAAGCAAGAAGGGCATAACAGGGCCATGCCGAAGCCTCAGGGCTTCCTGGTGTCTCCGGGCTGCCTGAGAAGTGTGTGTGTGATGCAGAGGGGAGGAATCAGAGGGTGAAGTTTCTTGGCAAAATGCACAGACAGACACATACACACATACACGGAGGTTCAGTCTGGTGGGGGGTCTTTATAGACAAGGCCTCAGAGCAGCTGAGGAAGGATGGGCACGCTTAGCAGTAATTCCAGGGGTGCAGACGCTAGACCACTACCCACTGTGAACCCGGGAAAACCAAAGAAATGCTTGCTGATGAGGTTAAAGGGGTCACATGCCAGGACCCCAGAGCAGCTGCCACTCTGGGTGGGGAAAGGGCTTCTAGGGGCCGAGGGGACCTAAGTGGGAAGTGGCTATGGGGGCTCCCTGGGGGCAGGGACCACGCCTCTCCCACTCTCCATCTGTCCCTGAGCCTACCACATGCCTGGACTCCAGGAGGCACTCAGCAGGGGCTGGGGGGCAGGGAGCAAATGCACGTGGCAGCAGGGGACTGAGCCCCAGGAGTTCTGGAGCACAACCCATTACTAACCCCATTTCTTTACTTGCTGGCGATGATTTCTCTTTGCTTTGTCTCGTTTTTCCAAATGAATTCTTTGGTATTTTCTCATTATCCATCAGATCTGTGGCAAAGGGAATCTTTGATGCCACCTAGGAAAACACAAGATGCTCTCAGGATCCAAGACAACGCTGCTGTCAACACAAAGCGTCTTCCAGGAGCGTCACACAGTTCCACATCTGCGAGGGAGTCAATAACTGATATCTAGAGAATGCTGTTCTCACACCCAGGCCATCAGCCTGAGGCCTTGGCTCGCTCCTGCTCCCGCCTCAGGCTTGGCTGGACCTCTCTGCAGAGGCCTTCCCGGCCAGCCCAGGTGGAAAGGCAGAGCGCAGGGACACACGGCGTGCTGCCCCAGGTGACACCCACTCGGAATTCTGTCAGCACAACAGACAGAAAACACATGACCTACAATGGGCACGAGTCCTTCAGAGAGATGGGACTGCATTCCTAAGCCACGAAGTTTCAAGCTGATACAGAATTGCTAACGCATGACTGACCGACAGGGAGAGAAAGCAGAAAGTCTTGTAGTCAGAAAGCTGCATTATAAACCCATCGGTCCTGGATCAACGATGTGATGAAACGGCACAAACAAACTTTGAAAACTTACGAGAAATTCTTCAGTGCTGGTTTTTGATAAAAACCACTGTGATTCCACGTGAAAACACGCAACTTCCACACGTAAACAGGACACAGTTAGAGCTCAGCTGCACCCCATTAACCAGCCCTACCCCGCCCCCAAGGCGGCGAGCAGCCACTGCCGGCTCCAGGGGTCCCAGAGCTCCGGATGGCAGGTCTCAAAGACGTCAACAGCCCCCTGCTATGGCCCAGGGTCTCCTAAACAACATTTTCTTGACCCCGCCCCCAGAAGGCCTCGAGAGCCAAGCTCGGCTGAGGCTGTGGGTCATGGGACTTGCTGGGCGTGGGCGGTGGCCAGGAGGCAGCCGGCCGGGAAAAGGGTGACGGCGGGGCAGAGGGCGACAGGATAAAGGCTGACCTGTTCTGGAAAGCTCTCTGTAAGAATCCACAGACTGCTTACATTTATTGCGTAACAACAAATTCCTTAAAACTTCTACAGCATTGCACAAGCTGTGCTCACACAGCACCACAGATGCTGGAAAGCTCGCTGTTCCTGGGGCCTCTGACATCACACCAGGTTTCTGCTCGCCTGGACCCGGCGTGTCTCAGCCACAGAGTGCCATCCTCCAACTCCAGCCTGACTCCCTCTCCCCTGCTCCCTAGCTACTGGCTGTGCCTTCTGGAATCTTCCTTTCCCCTCCGTCCTTCTTGGGCCACACCTGGGTGTCAGGTCGGCGCTCTGGGCTCTCCTACACGGTGTCCTGACCAGTTGCTGCACCACCCCCAACCTTGGCTCCCCCTATCACTGGTCTGTGCTCTCAGCCGGGTGAGCTTTGATAAAACGCCCCTTTGGGCTTGGCCCCGGGCTGCTGAGGGATCTCCCATAACCCCATGCCTGGTGCACAAGCCTGAGAACCAGACTGACCCCCTCCTACCTCAGGGAGCTTTACACCTGTGGGTGCGTGTGTGTATACTTGCGTGTGTGTCTGCCTGTGTGTGTTGGGACAGTATAGCTGCTATGAAAGGAGAGAGGGTGCACCTCTCAGGGCATCTGGAAGCCGAACAGCGGGAGGGACAGGGCAAGTGTGAGTGCAGGGAGGAGGCTGGGTGGGCTCCTGGGGGGGTTGAACCTCCTCCCAGGGGCTCCTCCAGCTGGAGTCTGGTGGCGTCAATGCAAGTGCTTACCCAGACTGTCTGGAACTGTCTTATCTGTCAGGTCACCTCTACACGGATTACCAGGGCAGGACCTTGTCTTTCCGTGTCATCAGTGCCACTCTAGCACATGCCTGACTCTTAAGAGGGGTTTAACACCTGGGAAGTGTGGGAGGGAGGGGGCACGGGGAAAGGGAGAGGACAGAGGGAGAGGGAGAGGGGAGGCAGAGGAGGGAGGAGGGAATGAGGGGGGAGGGGAAGGGGGAGCAGGCATGGCCTTCCAACCCTCCCTCGGCCCCACGCCCACTACGCTGCCAGGCTGCGGACACAGCAGAATTACAACTATCTGCTGACTGTCAGAGCTGCACGCTTCCAGTTAATCAGGACTCTCCCAAACATTATTCCCACAGAAGAAAGGAACAAATGCTAAACCCAGCAGGTGTTTTTTTTTAAGTCAGACATTTCATTTTGTTTTTAAAAATATTAAAAGTATGATTTGGAAAGGAGCCAGCCCAGCCATATTTTACTATTACTAGAAAATAAGAGGAGGGAGATCCACCCAATACCCAGTCTAACGAGACAGCAAAGCAGCACACACACGGAGCAGGAGGGGGGAGCGGTGCCCTTCCGCCCCCAGGACTGCCCTGCACCGAGTGCGCCCTGCGTCCCCCCCCGCCCCTCTGCAGGAGGCCCTCGGACGGGACAGAGGCCATGTGGCCCTTTCCTACTGGGGACACACAGATGGTCTTCATTTATTCATGTCCGCCCTGCAGACGACACTGAAACGCTCAGATGCGTCTTTGCATATAGACGCTTACGGTCTGGCTGCTTCTGTTTCTGTAAGATGCTCTACTCGAGTGTTCACAGAAAGGTGTGTTCTCAATAGACCTTTTGCAGGAAGCTGAAGCGGCCGTGGCAGCAGCAACTGGGAGCATTCCCCTCACAGCCTTCCCGCCCCGTGTCACCCTCGCTCCTCTTGGCCACCCTAGCAGGTGACACCGCGCCTCCTGAGCGGGTGGGGCCCTGTCACTATTTGTCGCATTTGGGCCTCCCTGTCTGTGAACCGCCTGTCACACTCTTTGCCCATTTTCCCACTGGATTCTTTAACTTTTAAAAATCTACTTGTAATCCTTCTTCATATTTTAGGTAGTAATCTTTTGTCACAAACGTCACAAATATTTTCCCCTGTCTTTTGACTTTGATTACAGTATTTAGGCCATATGACATATTTCAGTTTTATGAAGTAAAATTTTTCTACTTTTAGTTCAGAGCTCCTGGATTTCCCAGTTTACTTAGAGGTGACAGGGAGCTCGGTTTCCTTGAAAGCTGCTGCGGCTCTGACGTCACTAACAGTAAAGGAACATGAAAGCTCGTAGAGAAGACGGCTTCAGGGTCTGGAACACCTTTAGGAGAACAAGCCGTTCTAATTCTGTCCCCCTAGACAGATTTCTCTAGTCAGAACCACGTGTCACGTGAATGAACAGATCCCGTGGGAAAGGCCACAGTCCCAGGGGCCCTCTCACCTGTCACTCTGAGGACCTGGCGGCCGAGCAAAGCCCAGCCAGGCCGGGGGCTGCGGGGCTATCACAGCAGGCCAGAACCGGGCAGGCAACCTCAGCCAGCAGGCAGGGCCCAGTGACTCCAACCGCACCTGAACTGGAAGGTTTCCAATGCTGGAAATCAGGGCGTCCCACCATGACCTTCCACTAGGACTATATGGTCCCTCTTTTTTTTTCAAAGTTAACAAACCACTCCTCATTTGGACGGACAAAGGCAACTTGGGAAGTGTTAGGTGGCAGAAGAATTCGATCACAAAGATTCCCGATAGGAGACGGACCTCAGGAGGCTAAGAAGCAGGCACAAGCATGCGAGAAGCAGCACCTGCACGTCCCAGCGTCCTCCCAAGGGATGCACCAGCCTCGGGGCGAAGACGGCGCCTCTCCAGGGAGGGACCAAGGTCCGCCGACGCCACATCCCGTGACGTGCTACACAGACAGACGCGGCTTCACTTCTGTGCTCTTCCAGCCCTGAACGCAAGACCTCAGCCCGATCGTGAGAAGCATCAGACAAGTAACTGAGATGAATGAGACGGCCGACAAAATAACTGGTCAGTACACGTCAAAACTGCAAGGCCAGGGTGGACAGCCTGCGGGACACTGTGGGGACATGGCAGCCAAGCGCTGGGGACCCTGGAGCAAAGAAGGACGTCAGTGAGAACATGGTGAGTCCAGCGTTCCTGTCGTCACAGCACCATCCCACTGTCAGGCCCGGGCCCGAGCACGTCTGTGGTGGCGGAAGATGTGAACACAGGCGAGCTGGGTAGGGGCACACGGAGACCACGCGCTCTCGGCAACCTTTCTCTAAATTTAAAGTTAGTTCAAAATAAAGTTACAAGAAAAACAGACCCCTGGGCTGTCCAAGTGGCTGCCTACCCACCTGCTCACCCTGCTGTGAGATGGAGGCCCCGTGGCTCAGGGTGCCTTCCCCCACTTCGGGGGCCTAGAGGCAATCCCCGGCCTTGTGGGGTCACACACAGTGAACATTTCCTCACAGAACTGAGAAACCATGGTGACTGAGTTCAAAGGCACCCTGCCCACTGCTCCCAGGGCACAGGCCAGCAGGTGCGGTCCAGGCCTCCGTGCCCGTCTGGGCTCAGACCCCTAGACGGTTCAGGAGGAAAAAGGGAAAAGGGGCTACCCTCAGGTCAACCCGTGCACCACACAACGGGGGAGCTGGTGACCCCAGTGTTTGCCACCATCCTTGGGAATGGAGGGGACAGGCCGCTGAGCCACTGCTTCATGGCTTCCAAGGTGACCAGCCTCCCAGGGCTGAGACCAAGGGCAAGGAGACCCTGTGGCACCTCAACTCCAGGTGTTTGCTTCCTCAGTTTCTCCCACCCCATCCCGCCTTCCTCATGGGAGACCCGACTCCTCAGATAGAAAGGAAACACCGGTCAGAAGGCAGAGAGGTGGTGGTCGAGGGTGCAGACACAGACCCTCCCATCTATGGAGGTCCCACCAGCCCCACAGTCACACGTCGGTCTGCAGGCAGATCGCTGACTCTCTGGGTCGCAGCCTCTTACTTCAGGAAGCAGTGGCATCTGCAGACCCCTCTGCCCCACGTGACTGAACAGGACTCCTGAGCACGGTGTCCTCCGTGGAGCCGCCCACACCGTGGTCCCACTGCTGTTAGGCCCCCGCCCACCCGCATACCAGCGTCCTCTGTGGGGGCAGGAGCTCGCTCAGCTCCTCCTTCTTCCTCTTCATCAGCTGGGTGTGCTCTCTCCACTCCTGCAGCACTCTCCTATCCCTGGGGAAAACACGTCACAGTGTCACTGTCACAGTCAGCAGCAGCTTCAAGCAGAGCTCACGAGGACTTCACTGCTGCTCATAAAGCTTCCCACAAAAGTCCTTCACCCCTGGTCCCTGCGTCCAGAGGAGAGACGCCAGCTGGACACAAGAACACTGAGGGCAGGTTCTGATGCGCATGTTTGGGCAGAGCTGGGAACTCGGATCCTGGCCCAAGGCTCTCTGTGGGGGGTGGGGCAAGGCAGCCCTCCTCGAGCCCCACTGGGTGAGGCATCAGGAGGCGGCTGGGCTGGGGCTGTGGCCAGAGCTGGGGCACCAGGCCCTCAGCATCCATGGTCTACGTCAGGTCTGAAAGAGCATCACTGACGGGCCAACTTCCTTCCAGAAACTTGCATTTCACTTTAGAGAGCGAGCGTCCCGTCTTCCCACCCTCCTCCTGTGGCATCACCACGCGTGGGCACCCCCTCCTGTGGCATCGCCACGCGCGGGCACCCCCTCCTGTGGCATCACCACGCGCGGGCATCCCCTCCTGTGGCATCGCCGCATGCGGGCACCCCCTCCTGTGGCATCACCACGCGCGGGCATCCCCTCCTGTGGCATCGCTGCACGAGGGCACCCCCTCCTGTGGCATCGCCGCATGCGGGCACCCCCTCCTGTGGCATCACCACGCGCGGGCACCCCCTCCTGTGGCATCGCCGCATGCGGGCACCCCCTCCTGTGGCATCGCTGTATGAGGGCACCCCCTCCTGTGGCATCACCACGCGCGGGCACCCCCTCCTGTGGCATCGCTGCACGCGGGCACCCCCTCCTGTGGCATTGTTACACCATGGGCACCGTCTCACCCGCCGCATGGTCAGCCCCCTGCAGCAATACATGAGGGGATGCTCTGCCCATAGTGTTGAGGCTGGGCCAGGCTCTGGCACCATAATGCTTGCGGAATTCCTCAATGGAACGTGTGGCTGTGGTTATGGCTTTGGGGATGGGGTGAGGTCCCTGTGAATCCTCCAGGGGCCCAGGGCTCCACCCACCATGCACTCTGGGTTCTGGAAGCCACCTTTCCAGTCCAGGTCTCCACCTGGCTGTTTGAGTCAACCCCTGGATCTTCCGTTAGATTTCTGTAGTCAGCACCCCTCCCCATCCCGCCCCCAAGTCTGGCCCCCTCATCTCCCCGCTCAGCTGACGGCTCCGTCCTTGGCCCAGATCCTTGGCCGCCATCCCAGACTCGCCCTGGCCTCTCCAGCCCTGGGCTCTTCCACCCTCAGGGCCACAGTCCCGGGCCCACCTGGCTGTGCCGGCCGCCTTGCTGCGGGGTGCCTCCATCCTGCCCTCAGCGCTGTGGGATGTGGGACTTTTAGGCGCCACGGAACTTGGCTCCATCCTCCCCAGGCTCCTACCCTGACGCATAGGTTTTGCTGTTTCTGGCAGCTGTGTGTTGCTATTTCAGAGCCCCATGAGGGCCAGCTGGCCTCCTCCGCACCTCTGCAGAGGACTCCTCACCTGCAAACTGCTTCCTGCCCTGCCTGGCTGGTTCCTGAGCCCCCAGCCCCAAGCTGAGCTCGTGCCCCCGTTCTCCTCCACCCAGCACTCCTCACGTGGAGTCATGACTTGGTGACACGTCACCCTGGGCTGTGCTCCTGGGCACAAGGCTCCATCTCAGTCTCCACCACCTCGTGGTGAAACGTGACAGGAGGGACCCACTCCCACTCCTTGAGAGGCATGGGGTGAGGTTCTTGGGAGCTACAGGTGCACAGATAACCAGGGGCAGGACCAGGGTCCAGGGGCTGTGATGGGAGAGGAAGCCACGGCACAGGACTCCGCAAGCTGTCACCAAGGAGGCCACAGAACGACGTCTCAGGGTCCCAGGCAGAGAAACTAAGGAGACAGCTCGCGCCTGCCCTTTGTATCAAGAGCTTCCTGCAGTGAAGGTGTGCAGCATCCCGAGCACCACAGGGCCTGACTGCGCCGTATGAGGATGCGCGCTCCTGCCTGCTGCACCTGCAGCGGCCTGGGCTGCTCCGAGTGCCCACCCCCAGCCAGGCGCCCACCTGTGCCACCTCTCCCTGCATCGCCCCGATCGGGGGCCTGGCCAAGATGGAGGGGAAGGCGGCAGAGGGGGGAGAGCGGGACGCACATGCGAATGCGAGGAGCAGCACAGCCGTGGAGGCGGAAGCACTTGTCTAAAGAGTTGCGCAGGGCAGGGCCATGGGGCCAGTCCCAGAACATGACACCAGGAGACAGGCAGAGCCAGGAGACATGGCGTGCCGGACCAGCTCTGAGGGTCTAACATCACCCATCCTTCCACTGAAGGGAAAGAAACTCGACTGGACAAGTCTGTCTTGGGGTCGAGGGGATAAGCAGTGGACAGCGAAAACACGTGTTCTGTGGACAGTCTGCATCTGCCAGGGTCCCAAGAGAAAACACGTTCATGTGGGATGATCTCAGGAGGGTTTATTTACAAAGGGACTATTCACAGGGGAGGGCAGTGCAGGGCCTGCTGGGAATATCAGGCTGTAGCCCCTCCTAGCCCCCAGGACTGGGGGAGGGGAGGAATGGTTGCCAGCACCAGGAGAGGAAATCATAGAGCCACAATGTGAGGGACTCCGCCAGCACCGGGCAGCCCTCGTGGGGAGGGGCGGGGGAGTAAAGACTCTGCCCTCCCTCTGCCCCTTCTCTCCCACCGCCGGCTGGGGCCCCACTGGCCAAACCCAACCAGAAGGTGAGGGCCAACGGGGTACTGTGGACACTGTCCATGCTGACTGACCTCCTGGGGCCCAGAGCACAGCAGAGATGGGCGGTCAGCAGAGCTGGAGGACAGAGACAGTGACAGTGAGGAGAGGGTCGACCACAGCCAGCAACAGGCCCAACGAGGCAGGGGCAAGAGTGAACTTTATTGACGAGCATGTTATTTTTAAATAACTTTCCTTAGAACAGACCTGTAAGCCAGGTGATTGAAGGGAGAGGAGGGCGGATAAAGGAAGAACAAGAAATCAGAGGAAACACGAGAGCAGGAAGGTGGATGAGAAGGAATGGCCTGTGCGGCCATGCCCACGCCCGCCCAGAACAGCCTCATGCACACCAGGTGCCGCAAACCCGACGAGAAGCAGCAGGCCACCATCCAGACGAAGCAAAAAGCAGACCCCGCTCAGCCGGGCACTGAGCCCCGCATCCAAGCCTACCCCCGACCCCAGCCAGCGGCTGTGGCGCCAGAGCTCACCTTCTCCGCTGCTCCATCAGGGCGTGCTTCTCCCTGAGCTCCCGGAGGGCCGCAGCCCGGCTCTCCTCCAGCCTCCTTGCCCCAATCACTGCCTGGTGCGACAACGGGAGGGCAGGCAGGATGCTCCTGAAGGAGGGGGTCTTCCTTCTAGAATTACACAAGCTTTTTAGCCGAATGTCGAACAAAACCCTGCAAGGAACACTCACACCTGCAGGACAGGGTTAGAGAACAAACACCCAGAACGTGGAGGGTGCACAGTGGAACAACTGACGGCTACAGACACAGTGGCCAGGAAATCGGCCCCCTGGGCCACTACCGGGCCAGCAAGGGCAGGGCAGGGCTGGGGGCCGCGTGTGGGGCCCCAGCCTCACAGTGCCAGCCCTCCATTCCCACCTCCAGGCCACCAATCGGACCCCCAAAGGCCATGAGCCAGATCTAAATCTGAAAGATGGGACGAAACTGTCAAGTGCCCTGAAAAGGCTGACCATAAGCTACTCGGATAAGTTATCCTTGTCCACGACAGAAATAAGAGAATGAATGGAGGGAGGGAGGAAGAGGTTCCTAAATAGCAGTGGCCTTAGAACATCCCTGTCCTTAGATGTACGACTGTGGACTGAGGACATCACGGCAGCCTCAGAGGCAACGCCAGGCTGCACCGCGAACCACACTGCAGGCTCCCAGCTCTTCAAGGTTACAATCGGCTAATGATATGTTAACATATGTTTATTTTGAAAATTTTCAAACTTACAGAACAGGTGAGAGGACAGTGCAGCAGACACCTGAGTGTTCTCCACTCGGCCCTGGGCACGGCCCTGTCACACTCACTTCTCCCGGCCGCCCCACAGTCTCACCACCACAGGCACCCCGCACACGTGCTCTGCCGCCGCAGGGCGAGCCGTGCGGCGCCACAAACCAGAGTAACCGCTAAGAGCCAATTTCTGTCCCCACGGCATGATACCCACCCCGTCGAATGTATGATCTACATTCACATTTTGTTTGACCACATTCTCTCTCTCTCTCTTTACGTGTTCATCCACATGTGCGTGCACATCACACACACCACACACACACACGAGTTGAGTTTTTCTCTCAGGTAAGCTCCTCCTTGGAGGCTGTGTTCTGGGTAACTTCAACCCTGAACCAGGGCTGGCATCCGCTACATAATAACTGATGGCAATGCAGGCACACATCTACCTGATGTTTTAAAAAAAAATCACAAAAAATATCACAACTTTGTGAAGATCAAGAAAATGCACCTTTCCTTTCAAATCGTACCTGAAAGCGTGTCTTCGGCTGGAACGCTCTTTCTCCCTGGTGTTCAACGCTGCCTTGAGGTTGGGAGGCAATTCCATTGGTAAGAGCTGGTTTTCAAGAACTTCTGCTTGTTCGTTCTCCACAATCTCCTGCCGCAGCTTCCAGAAGCGCCTGATCTCCTCCTCACTCGGCCAGTTTTCCGAGGAGTCGGTGGACTTTCTGAGCTCACTCAGGTCTAGTTTTTCAACCGGCGGGAAAAAGTCTGCCTTTTCTTTCAACGTGGTCCCCTTTCCATCCTGAGAGGTAATGGCTTCCCTGTCAGGCACACGGTCTTCGGATAAATCCAACAAGGGATGAGGCAGCTCACTTACGTTCATCTTTTTAACTTGTGAAATTGCTAGCAGAAAAAATGCTGTGTTAGTGCACTGTGCTCTGACACGGCCCCTGAGACTCAGAGACTCAAACAAACCCGGTGACCAGCTCCCTCCGCAGGGAAGACCTGGGGTGGGGGTGACCAGCTCCCTCCACAGGGAAGGCCTGGGGTGGGGGTGGGGTGGGGGTGACCGGCTCCCTCTGCAGGGAAGACCTGGGGTAGGGGGTGGGGGTGACCGGCTCCCTCTGCCCTAGGCCCTCACACTCCATACAAATCCATATAAATCAAGATACTTTTCTGCTTCCCCCAGGTCTTTTAGTATCTTTATTCTAATTGATTTTTTGCCCATGTACCTGTTGTTTTTGTTTGGCAATGCTTTTGTTGACTAAACACTTTTATTTTTGGCTCTAGGTAAATTATTTGAGAGAAAACTGCCCTGAAACGCATTCATCCACTATTTGTGCCGGGTCCCAGACCAGGCGTTGGAGCTGTGGTGCCTCCTGACCCAATGAGGCCTCTGCTCCAGCAGGACACAGATTGGGACCACTCACAGGCCGGGGCACGCCCACCACACCAGGCCCGGCGTCCTTGCCACGCACTCCAGACTTGTGGGCCCTGTGTGTTCTTCAGCAAATTTCATACAGCTTTGCCCACGGCACGTTCCTTCTTGTAAAAAGTGAATTCATTTTCAGCCCTCCAAGCCTAATTTATTTAGCTACTTTCTACCTTTTTTCCAGTCGATTACACATCTATATATTTCAACCAATGCAGCCTTCTTTGTAAAAAAACAAATGAAAATTGCAATGAGGTTGAAAGATGATGAGAAAGAATGTTGATAATCTTAAATGTTAATTACACATTAAAATATTAAATTCTAAAAAATGTTTCTCAGTGTCAGTGGTTTGCAATTTTTCTTTTAAGCAAAAGCTTTTCTCTAGACACAACGTCAGGGAGGAGCGCTCGCAACATGAGACAGGTGACAGCTCTGGTGATAAATGCCGTCCTTACTGCACACGCCCAGCACCACCCCAGGGCCCGGGCTCTTCTGTACCACCACCGAGTGTGACCCGAGCTGGCGCCACACCAGACACGGCACAGGACAGTGCGCTCCTGATGGCTACATGCTCTCCACCGCTACACGCTCCAGCCGGTGTCTTTGAAGAAAAATAGTTTACAAAATGGGCAAAGATATGCTTTTAAAAGTCCTAAGGAATTGCAAAAGTCCCCCAAAGTACAAGTGACTAGAAATAAGCATATCTGACCAATTTGCTTGCAGACACTCAACTGAGAGCCAGAGCCAAACTGAAACTCACGGACATATCGCCAAACAAGAGGACTGGAAATGCCAGCAAAACTCGTTTTTAAAGTCAAGCAAAAGGGCAAAATGTAAAAAATGTACATAACTGCTGAAAATTCACCCTACATAGCACAAAAAACATTAATACATGAAAAAAGAGTCAAGAAATACTTACTTTTGACCAATTACTTGATGCATCTTTAACTTTTATTTTGCAAGAACAGCACAGAGAAGTCGGAGCCCCGCCTGCGCCACAGCTTTAGCGCCCTGCCCCGAGTGCCCTCTCTCCCCTCTCTCACCCTGTGTCTGCATGTCTAGCAGTGTTCTTTTCTAAAACGTCTGCGAGCGATGTTCAGATGTCAGGCCCCTTACCCTCAGATCAAGAACACAGAGCACAAAACCACAGTCCAGCCACCAAAACCAGGACCGTGACGCTGACAGCTTCTGTTATCAAACCTGCAGACCTTACTCACATCTGCCAACTGTCCCAATAATGTCCTCTGTCATTCATTCCTGGCCCAGGATCCAATCTGGATGGAGCACACTCTGTTTCCTGATTCCCTAGCCTCTTTCAATGGGAACACTCCCTCACCGTTCCCTCTTGAAGAGCACAGACCGTCTTGCGATCGTTCTTGTGTTGGGGTCTGCCTGTGTTTCCTCGTGCCCCCTGCAGCCCAGCCCCCGAGCTGCTGCCCCAAGGCTCTGCCCATTCTGACCTCACACAGCCCAGCAGTTGCTGTGTCCATGCCCTTACTTCTTGTCTCTCCTCAGCCATCCCACAGGCTCACCGACCCCCAGTTTCCTGCCAGGTACCTCCAGGGCATTAGTCCAATGGCTACTTTCCTTTTCTGTCCTCATTTACAGGACTTTTAGGCAGCATCTGATGCCAGTGCATTTGCCCCCACCTCCTCCACATGTGTGCCCCCCACCTGCCTCACCACTTGCCCCCACCTCCCTCCTCCCCCACCATCTACCCCCCAACACGCCTCCCAGGCCCCTGCAGCATCACCCCCCTGGGTCTGCCCCATCTCCACTGAGGCCCCTCTCTGTCCCTCTGCTGCTCTTCCTCCTCTGCCCACTTCCCACTGTCCGAGGGCCCCCGGTTCTGACTGAAGCCCCTACACGGCCCTCCAGACAATGTCTTCCAGCCCTCCCTTCAGGGGACATGTAGTACCCATGACACCTCATCTACATTGCAAGCCCCTCTCTCCCATTTCACTGGATTCCAGGCTCTGACGGCCAAAAAGGGTGCTCACCACCTCATCTCTGCTGTGCACACAGTCAGCATCCAGAGTCCGCATGGCCACCAGGGCGCCCGTATCAGCCAGCTGGTTCTGCACCAGGCCAGCCCCTCTCCGAGCAAGGCCCCACCATCCACTCAACTGCTCAAGTCAGGGCCCCGAGTCCTCCTAGACTGTCTCTGTCCCTCCGTCCCAACATCCCGTCCACCAGTGAGGCTGCCAGCTCCACCTCCAAAGGGCATGTATCCCACCTGCCTCGCCTCCCTCTCCCCCTCCCCCAGCCCTGCCTCTCCCTCCCCTTTCCCCTCCCCTTCCCCCGGCCCTGCCTCGCCTCCCTCTCCCCCTCCCCCAGCCCTGCCTCTCCCTCCCCTTTCCCCTCCCCTTCCCCGGCCCTGCCTCTCCATCCACCTCCCCCTCCCCCAGCCCTGCCTCTCCCTCCCCTTTCCCTCCCCTTCCCCGGCCCTGTCTCTCCATCCACCTCCTCCTCGCCCAGCCCTGCCTCCTCCTGCCTCCGATGATGCCTTTGAACAAGCAGCTAGACAGATCTTCTAAAGAACCAAATCCTTCCCTCCTCTGCTTACTTCCCATCTCACCTGGGGAAACTCACGTCCTGGCCATGGCCCAGGGGTCCTCTGCCAACAGCTGGCTGACCCCATCCCTGGCTCCCCCGTCACTGCTCTGACCCAGGCCTATGGCCTGCTCCTAAAATGTAGCAGCTGGTTCCCAGCTGAGAGTCTCTCAACCTGCTGGCCCCTCTGCCAGAAACATTCTTGCCTTTAGGACTACATTCAAAGGTCCCCTCATCAATGCGTCTGCCTAGGACGAGCAACCCCCACCTCCTGGACCATCCCCAAGACAAAATTAGGTCACAGGTTACGATGACATGGCCTCCTTTTTGGCTTTGGGTTCAGACTCGAAATAGAGACTCAGAACCTTGGCATCCTTTCTGCGATGGCATTGGATTCTGATCTGTAATTAACAGATAAACCTCATACATTCTTTAGTAAACGAGAAAATTCAAGATTCAAGATAATAGGTCAAGTGGACAAAACAGACCACCTGGAGCAGACCACTGGCACCCAGCACGTGCCCTTGGCCCTCACCATTGCAGCACTGGCTGGCCTCACCTCCGATCAGCACCAGTATCTTTGAGCTCGGGCATTTCCTCTGGCACATGAAGGCAGGCCTGCAGGGCTGGGGAACCATGTGCCTACCCCCAGGAGAAGCCCTCCATTCCACCAAGCAGTGCTGGTGCTGGAGCAGGCAGGCCCCACTCCCTCGCCCTGTGGCGGAGTGACCCCCGGGCCTGTGTTCAGCACTAGCTTTCCATAAAAATCAGCGCGCCCTGGGGACCCTGTGAAATGCAGGTCCTGACCCAATAAGTCTGTACAGGGCCTGCGAGGCTCAATGTGACCAGGTGAGGCCCAGAGGGGCTTCACCTGCTTCTCAGAGCCCCCGGCATCAGGACAAAGCACTAGTGTCTGGGGCGTACCTGCCTGGTCCCTCACCTCTGCTGGCATCCTCTCCTTCCCTGTCTCACTCCCCCGTGCCTCCTCAGTGTGTCCTGGGATCATCTCCTAAATCAGCCACTGGCCCTTCGATCCTGTCTCAGGAGCTGCTTCTGGGGGAGCCAAACTCAGACACGTCACAAACACAACCACAGTGTACATCACACATTCCAGAGCCACCTGTTTGGACTTGGGATAAAGGTTAATTAAACACGGCATCACTTCCCGATCACTTTGGACATCCCTCACACCTTCTGAGACAGACCTAATTATTTACACATTTCTATTATAGCACATATATGACCACCTTGGCTAACTGTTTCAAATTTATGCATTTTCTTAATTATAGAAGCCATGTTTTAAATAGCAAAATTTAGATATTCTGAAGTTGATTTTCAGAACTCTTACTTTTTTGGTGAGCATTCATTATGATTCTCCTTTATCGCCAGTTTACTTTGTCTGAGTGTAACCACAGCACTTATTCAAGATCAGATTAATCATGAGCATTGCAGAACATCGGGTTGGATCTGTTTCATCAACATGATGAAAACATGGAATTGTTTAGTGAGTACTCACAAAAAGTGGCTAGACCACCATGCTGACACAGCCCATTCTCATGCTGGTCTCTTGTTCCAGCCTCAGGACATTTCCGTGTGCTTATTGTTACACAGTTGTCTAATGGACTGAGTAGCTCCTGAAGCAATGGCCTGATGGTGGCTCAGTGGTGAGGTCTGTTTCACCTGATGGATCCCAAGGAACTTTTACCAAAATTGACCCTAGACAGGCTCTACAAGGAGCACTGAGGAGGCAAACCCATGAGCACAGAATCAGGAAAAGACAGAGCTCTGGGCAGCCAGGACGGAGATATGAACACACTGCTGTGTGGGGGTCCAGCCGAGGACGCTCGAGGCTCCCATGTTCCTCATGACACCATCAAAGGGAAGACAGGCTCCCTAGGGGTCTGATTTTATGAAGTACTGGCTTTGGTTTTAACGTGGTTCATCACAGTAATTGTCCCACAAACCTCGAGAAGTTACATCCTGGGAGGAGCAGTGCTCTGCTGCACAGGTCTGCAGGAAGGACAGGATGGCCACCAGCCCCTTCTGCACAGTCAGCGGAGGGGGGAATTCCAGAGGGCAATGCCTCAAGTTCAGCGCTTTCAGTGTCGTCACGTTCCCTGCAAGGGAGAAGAGAAACAAGCAGCACTTCAACACCCTTCTGCGGGATGAAAACCAGGAGGCGAGGGGACGAGCTGTTTGCACATCAAAAAATGAAAGATCCTATTGAGAATTTTGGGTAAAATAATATGACAGATATCTGAGATTTGCTTTTAAAAACACTCTGCAGAGGAGACAGGCTAGCTACAAAATAAAACAAACAGCAGCAGTGACAGCTGTTAGGTAGAAATCCTAACACAAAGTTGCTATATTACCTAAATGCCTATTTTCAACAAAAAAACTAGAAAGCATGCAAAGTAAAGAAAAATGTGACTTGTACTCAGGAAACAGGCAGTCAACAGAAACTGTCTTCAAGTAGGCCAAGACGTTGGACCAAGCAGACAAAAGCTTCAGAGCAGTCATTACAAATACATTCAAAGAAACGAAGAAAACTATGTTTAAATAATTAAACACAGTAAAATGACTCAACAAACACAGAAGGTCAATAAAAATAGAAATTATAAAAAAGAACCAAATAGCAGTTCTAGAGTTGAAAATTACAAAAACTGTGATGAAAAATTCACTAGAGGAACTCAAGAGAAGATATGAGATGACAGAAGAAACAATAAGTGAATGAAGATGGAAAAATAACAATTATCCAATCTGATGATCCGAGAGAAAAAAGATTAAAACAACAACAGAATCTCAGAGACCTGTGGAACAACATCCAGTGTGCCAACATCTACGTCACGAGTCAGAGGAGAGAAAGAAAGGGTCAGAAAAAATATCTGAGGAAACCATGGCCAGATACACCCTCAGTTTGATGATAAACATTAATCCATACATCTAAGAAGCTTAACAAACCCCAAGTAATATAAGTCAAAGGGATTCACACTTAGAAACATCACAAACTACCAAAAGAGAAAGAAAAAGAAATAATCCTAAAAACAGTAAGAGAAAAACAACTCGTCACATACAGGGAACAACAGCTGACTTCCTGTCAAAAACAACGGCGGCCAGAAGGAAATGGAACAAGGCAGTCAAAGTGCTGCAGAAAAAAATGTTAATAAAGTTCTCTGAATCCAGCAGAGCCATCCTTCAAAAATGCAGATGAAATGAAGACATCCCATAACTGATGCAGAAAGAAACAGAGACTCTGAATCAACCTATAACAATTAAAGAAACAAATTAGTAATTTAAAATCTTCCTGCTCACACACAATCTCAAGTCCAGCTGAAAACCACTAAACCCACCGGATGAGTCCACAGCAGACTGGACATGGCAGGAGGCAGAATCTGCAAAGTCAAAGGCAGCTCAACAGAAAACAATACTAACCAGAACACAGAGAGAAAAGGATGGGGGGAGAAAAGAGTATTCAAGGGACGAGGGACAGAATCAAAATCTCAACATCCATGTAACCAGAGTCCCAGGAGAGGAAAAAGTGAAGGAGAAAGAAGCAATGTCTAAAGAAATAATGTCAATAGCCAGGAATTTCCCAAATCTGATTAAAGCTATCAATAACCAGATTCAGGAAGCTCCGTAAACCCCAAACAAAGTAAATATAAAGAAAAATACACCTAGACACATCATAGACAAATTGCTGAAAATTAAACACAAAGAGAAAAATTTTAAAGCAGCCAGAGAAAAAAGATACATTACTTTTAAAGGAAAAACATTAAGACTGACAGCTGACTTTTCAACAGGTGATGGAAACCAGAAGATAATATAGATATATATATAAATTTTTTTTTGGAGGAAGATTGGCCCTGAGCTAACATCTGTGCCCATCTTCCTCTACTTTATATGTGGGACGCCTGCCACAGCATGGCCTTCTGAGTGGTGCCATAGGTCCACGCCTGGAATCCAAACTGGCAAATCCCAGGCTGCCGAAGTGGAACACATGAACTTAACTGCTACACCAGCAGGCTGGCCTCAAAGATATTTTTTAAGTAGAGAAAAAGCCCTAAAACTAGATTCCTATACTCAGCCAAAATAGCCTTCAAAAATGATGGAAAAATAAAGATGACTTTTAACAAAACCAAACTAGAATAATTCATTACAAGCAGACTAAATGAACTACTAAAGAGAGATCTCAGGCCAGGAGAGTCATACCAGATGGAAGCACGGAACGTCAAGAAACGAAGAACACCAGAAGGGTAAGTACGTGAGGACATATAAATAAATACTGACAGTTAAAAAGTGTTTGCTGGATCTGTAACACATATGAAAGCAACACCTACGAAACACCACAAAGGCAGGGAGGAGGTAACACAGACAGACAGTAGCACATTCTCCGTGAGGGAAGGAGAGGGTCCCAGGTCAAGGATGCAGGACAGCCTCCAGACAAACACTGAAGGCATACGAATGGCACCATGAGAGGTTCTGCTTCCAGTGACATCCAGTCAGCTCCAGTCAGATCAACTCTCCCACGGACAACCAGGAGGGGGCAAACACAAGCCACCTGTCGGCAGGGGAGCAACAGAGGGCAGGCACAGCTACAGGGGACCGCAGCTGCAGGAAGAGACTGGCGCAAGAGCCGCGTAGATCCGTGTGGGTTTCTGCCTGAGGGGAGGCCCCGGAGAGCACCCAGGGCAGCTACACCATGAGAGAAACCATCCGGACATTCACAGCCTGGGGGCTGGAGAGCAGACTGCAGAGCTGCCACGGCAGCAACGGGGGGTGTTCCAGAAAGACGAGACTGCACGGGGCCCTGTGACGCCTCTCAGCTCTGCAGAGGCCTCCAGTTCCCACGCACAGGACGGCTCCGAGCAGCACAGCAAAGGCTCAAAGACTGGAGTAGAGCTGTCACCTCCCGCCCACCGCAAGACAGACTGAGCGTGGAGTCTTAGTCCCATCAACCTAAGCACTTAGTTTGAAAAGTCAGTTCTCTACCAAGGAGTACAGCAGAACCAGACTCTCCACACCGCGTCTCTAACAACGTCTGGGACACAGTCCAAAATTACTGGACAGACGAAGAGACAGGAAAATGCGACCCACATGTCAGAGAAACAGCAAGAAATGGAGACCAACTCTGAGACAACCCAGAATAGCAGGCCAGAATTTCACGGTGTTACGGGCTGAAACGTGCCCCTCAAAACTCCCAGGCTGAACCCTAACCCACAGGCCCTCAGGATGCGACTGTGTCTGGAGACGGGCCTGGAGAGAGGGGCTAAGGTAAAACGCGCCTGTCAGGGTGGCCCTGGTCCAGTGTGACTGGGGGCCTTATGAGGAGGGGAAGGGACACCAGGGGTGCACGAGGACAGGGGGGACCCCGTGAGGACACAGCGAGAAGGCGGCTGTCCACGCACCAAGGAGGGAGGCCTCAGAAGGAAGCCAATGAGCTACCGCTTGATCTGGGCCTTCCCGCCGCTGCGGCCGTGAGAAAACCAGTTTCCCTGTTCAAGCCGCCCAGTGTGTGCTGGTTCGTCATGGCAGCCCGAGCGGACTAACGGAAGCACTGATGACAATCATGCCCAAGGACATGAAAGGAAACATGTTTGTACCAAATGAAAAAGATAAGGACTCTCAGCAGAAAAAGTAGAAACTATTTTTAAAATAGGAAAAATCTAGGGCTCAGCCCTGTGGCCAAATGGTTAAAGTTCCGTGCACTCTTCTTCAGCGGCCTGGGTTTGCAGGTTCAGATCGCAGGCACGGACCTACTCTGCTCACCAGCCACGCTGTGGAGGTGCCCCGCATACAAAAAAATAGAGCATTGGTACAGATGTTAGCTCAGGGATAATCTTCCTCAAGCAAAAACAAGAGGAAGATTGGCAGCAGATGTTAGCTCAGGGCTGATCTTCCTCAGTGAAAGAAAGGAGGGAGGGAGGGAAAAAGGAAGGAAGGAAGAAAGACAGAAAAAGAAAATTCTGAGACTGAAAATAGTCCTAGTATCTGAAAAAACAACTTACTAGAGGGTCTTCAGAGCCAACTGGAGACAACAGGAAATGAGATTCATGAACTTAAAGACATTTATCTATCTTCCCTGAAGAAGAAAAAATGACTTTTTAAAATGTACAGAAGCTCAGTGATCTGTGGGACAATAACAAAAGGTCTAACATATAGGTAAAAAGAGAGAAAAGGAGCAGAAAAAAATTTGAAGAAAAAATGACCAAAATATTTCCCAAATTTGACAAAAGACATGAATTTAAAAACTGAATAACTTTGACAAACTCCAAGCAGGATAAATACAAAGAAAACCACACCTGAGTACATCAGCGTCAAACTGCTGAAGGGCACAGACACAGGAAGCTCGACAGTGATCAAAGGCCATGAACACAGGGGCACAGGAGAGCAGCAGCAAGCGACCACCGAGGCCTGTAGACACAGGGTGTCTTTAAAGTGCTGGATGAAAAATTCAACCCGTATTTCTAAATCAGAAATGTCCTTTAAGAATTAATGCAAAATAAAGACATCTTTAGGGGCCGGCCCCGTGACCGAGTTGTTAAGTTCGCGCGCTCTGCTTCGGTGGCCCAGGGTCTCGCTGGTTCGGATCCTGGGCGAGGCCATGGCACTGCTCATCAGGCCATGCTGAGGCAGCGTCCCACACACCACAACTAGAAGGACACACAACTAAAAATACACAACTATGTAGCAGGGGGCTTTGGGGAGAAAAAGAAAAAATAAAATCTTTAAAAAAAATAAAGACATTTTTAGAAAAATAAAAATTGAGAGAATCATTTGCCAGCAGGCTGATTTTAAGAAATCCGAAGGGAGGTTCTTCAGGCTGAAGGAAAATGATGCCAACTGGAAACCCGGATCTTCAGGAAAGAATAGAGAGGATCAGGAATGTTAAATATTGAGTAAATATAAAAGACTTTTTTCCCCTTAATTTCTTTAAAATATACATGACTGCTTAAAGTAAAAACTGTAACATTGTACTGTGGGTTTATAACACCCCAGACACGATACACAGGACAACTACGCATAGGAAGGGGTGGGTGAGTGCTCTGTGTGGTTACAAGGCGGCTACGCTTGCCGTGACTTGGCACGTGCCCGCTCTAAGGAAGCACACTGGACCCCCGAGAGCAGCTGCCAAACCACTGAAGGAACGTCAGTAAATTAAAATGGAAGTCTACGTGATATCCATCAACTCAAAGTCACCTGGAAAGTAGAAACAGAGAAACGAAAAAACAAATGCGATAAACAGAAAACAAACCGTAAGATGACAGACCCAAATCCATTCTTGTCAATGATTATATTAAATTTAATGGACTAAACCCTTCAATTAAAAGCGGAGGTTGTCCAACTGGATAAAAGAGCAAGACCCAACGAGGGCCTGCCCCCTGGAACACACTAAAAATACAGAAGGGTTGGACACAGGGAGGCTGCAGGGAGACAGATGGAGAGCACGCCGCGTACAGAGCACGAGAAGCAGGCTGCAGCAGCCACACCGACACAGACCAAATGGCCAAGAAGCACATGACGAAGTTCCACATCACTGGCCATCAGAGGAACACGTATGAAAACCACAATGAGGCACCCCTACACACACCAGAATAGCAAAAGCAACAAGGAAACATAAAAATCCTAAATTTTTATTCGACCAGTAACACGTTATCAAAATATAAAAGTTGACAGATCTAAAAGGAAATTGTGGACTGTAGATAAATCCACAATGACAGTGGACGATGTTAACACACTTCAGGAACTGACAATACAAACAGAAAAAAAACCCCAAGAATGTAGACAATTCGAACACTATGACAAAGCAACTTGACTTAAACTGCATGTAGAGAACCTTACATCAAGTAACAACTTGAGAAGACACAGTCTTTCTTCTCAAGTGCACAAGGTTACATTCACCAGACAGAACATCTGCATCTTGTGCCAGAAAGCGAGCCTCAAGTTCCAAACAACCGGAATTACACAACACACGTGGCAGTAAACTAGGACTCAGTAACAGAAAGGTAAGTGGAAACTCTCCCGTTGTTTGTAGTTAAGCAACACGCTCCCAAAGAGCCCACGGTCAGTGGACGTTAGAAAGCATTTTGAGCTGAATGATGGTGAAAACACGGGATGCTGAAACTCGCGGGATGCAGCCAAGGCGGCGCTTAGACCGGGATTACAGGCGTAAACACACAGACTAGAAAAGAAAACTTCAAAATCAGCCATCCGAGCCTCCACCTCAATAAGTCAGAAGAAAGAACAGGGAGCTAAACCCAAAGACAGCAAAGAGAATAAAGAGCAGAAATCTACGAGACAAAACAGATGCAGAACAGAGAATGTCGCTGCCCTCCTCCTGCCCCTCATTCAGAGCAGGGAGAATTCACAAAAATGAGCACTCTACAGTCACGCATGTTCACAGGGATGGACACCCAACAGCGGAGAGCCAAGCGTGCACATCACCAAGAACACGTATGGTACGATCCAACCTAGGACAAGTTCGAAAGGCAGCCTTTCAACATGTACTGTTTAGGATCCCTAAGTGGTGCAGCGCCCGAGGAAAACAAGACAGTGGCCAACACACATCACGTTTGCTCGGCGGGGAGGGAGGGAGGGAGCTGGAATCAGGGCGGGCGACGCTGTGCACTGGGTACAAAGGCCTCGGTTTTCATTATTTCTCACACTACGCTGTGTGTCCTACGCTATCTGTAGAACACGTGTGAGCACACCCGCAGCTCTGGGGGCTGCAGTGTCTTGGAGCCTGGAGGGACCGACACAGAGGGGAGTTTAGACACCAGCCAGCCTGCCTCCTGCATCACGCCGGAGGTCTCCGCTACAGGTTCCAGCGACCACAGGGCACCACATTGTAAACCATCCTCCACTTTATTGTTTTAACACTTACCCAGCTCCACAGGTAACATTTTGATGGGATTTCTTTCTAAAAGCAAGGTTTTCAAATGCCTTTAAAACAAGAGAAAAAAATATGTAATTTAAAAAGCAGAAAATCAAATGACCATCCCTAAAATATACTATCAGATTTCTTCATCGTCTTCTCCTTAAGGGGGCAACTTCAACAGAGATGCACACACATTTACTGCTGTCCTACGGACGGTCTAGCGCCATGAGCAGACATGGCTCTCCGCCTCAGCACTGCTGACGCTGAGGACCAGGCAATTGTTGGGGGAACTGTCCTGGGCCTTGTGGGTTACAAACAGTACCCTGGCCTCTCCCCACTAGTGCCAGGAGTAACCCCTCCCCAAGTTATGACAACCACAAAATCTCCAGACATTGCCAATGTCCAGTGGGGCCAAACTCGCCCCACTGAGAACCCATGCTCGGGCTGCCCCATGGCCCGGGACGTCCTCACCACCCACCAGTGCTTGCTGAGGTTGCTGGGAGGCGTGTGTCTTAAGAGGCTCTGTGAAAACATTTGGGAGACTTCGGCCAGAGGGCACTGGCCCTGCCTGGGGATGAGCAATTGGCACATGAAGGACCCTGGGGCATCTCAGCAGCAAACATGGGTCAAGGGGCGTTTCTGCACATATTTGACCTTTTAGCATCCTTTGTAAAATTTACCATGAAACATATCATAGATAGATAGGCTAGAAAGAAGGTACCCAATAAAAATTTACTAATTGAATGATGTGGGAAAATAAATCTTTCATATTAAACTCCATCTTGCCCCTTTTATTCTATTAGACTTCTTTTTGTTTTCAAAGTTAATTAAAATTAAAAGTACCATATACTAACAATCAACTTCTTTCTCCTTTACTTTTCAAGGATCCCCAGTTGAAATCTGGCGTAAAAAGACTGAAAATATCCTGATTGTTCAGTGTTTTCAGCCCCGGGCTCCGAAGGCCCCTTCTCATGGCACCCAAGCAGAAGGCAGGACCCATCCCCGTCCCTGTCCCCCGGAACCTGCTCCAGCCGGGATTCACTGAGAGACCCTTTGGAGAACCGCTGGACGTGCCGCAGGACGGTCTGCCAGCCTGGAGCACCCACGCCACAGCAGAGAGCGGCTGGCCCGCGCAGGCACTCAGGGATGCTGACTGCGATGTGGGGCTGCTCTGTGAAGGGGATGGCTGCCTGGCACCCCCAGGAGGGCGCGAAGACCTCACAGCCGCCCGGAGAGAAGTCCCCATCTGCTTTCTCCTGGATCACAGGAGCATGGAAGGCTCCACGCCCTCAGGGTCCAGGAAGCCGACTGGGCAACCGAGAGTGGCCTGGAGCATAGGCCAATCTGTATCCCACATGGTCAGCTTTCCTGTCCCAAAGAGTGCTCCTCAGAGAGGAGCAGAGGCTGGCACAGACAGCAGAGCACTCTCACAAACCCTGTAAATGAATCGACACTTGGCAGGGGCGGGGGGAGGGAGGCGCCTCACGTTTCATTTTGTCTCAGAAGGTGAAAAAATTAAAATCCAACACCACGACTGACCAGGATCCCCAAGATTTGAAAAGAGGAAATACAACTTCACAGAAACACAACTGAGAGTTCTAGTAAGCATTCCATCTAAATTAAGTTCAGTTTCTTGATTAGCAACCCCGAGGGAAAATCAGGTTCCTTGAGGACAGGACAATTTCCTTTCCATCGGCTTTCCTGGATTTTCCTTATCATTTGAAGTTTCAGGAAGAAACTTTACGAATTAAACTTTTCTTGACGGACACAAAGGAGAACTATTTCAACGTTGTTACTTCGAATATTTTTGGCTCAGCCCCTTTTATCTCACTAACACAAAAACAGCCAGGGAGGAGAGGTCAGCCCTCCACAGGGTCCTTCAACAGATGCCGGGGGACAGCACCCTCGGCTTCTCCGGCACCAGATCTGCCTCAAGGCCCGGAATGTTCCAGCACATTTGTTTGTTTGTTTGTTTGTTCGGGGGGGGGGAGCGTGTTAGCCAACTACTAACCTGAAAGTGCACAGGGGGTTTCTCCACCTCATGTGACAAAATATTAAAGTACTCTTGCATGCTTCAGATGATAAATTTACAAACCTTAATCCCTCGCACACTATCAGTAACCCACCATTTCATGTCACCGACGTTCAGCTGAACACACGACTTTACACAGTGGATTGCAGCTGCTTGCCCAAGGAGCACACACTGACGGATGCTTTAATCTCTGTTAGCAAGCGCACACATCCAAGACACCGAGGACGGGGACACTAACACTGGCATTGTCTTAATTAGGCTTTTTGGAAAGTTTAAGGCTTTTAATAAGCCCATAATTACTTAAAATTTCTAATTAATATGTTTCAGCTCTTCAGCAGGCTGATCTAATTTTAATGATATAATGGGTTATAAATCACATGCAAAATTATATCTTAAACAGTAAGCAGCTGGCTTTGACTGGTAAAATCAAAGAATTTCAGGATCTGAGAACTGTGTGTTCATTTAGAAGAAAGAAGAGCACATACGGGCCGGGCTTCCGTTTCCTTTCCCCTGTGAGTGGCAACGACTCCACAGAATTGAGTGCTAATGCTGCAACGATGTGCGGACAAAGGCTCCACGCTATTCTACTCAAAGACGATGCTCTGTGAAGAACACGGCTTCCTGAACCACCCTGACCACAAGCTTGGAAGACTGGTGGGGCCACCTGGGCCAAGCTGGGAGGGACACAGTGGGAGCAGGGCCAGAGAACACACAGCCACTTGTCACATGACGAGCTGGCAGACCAGGGCTCAGCAAGTGCGCCTGGCCCAGGTGGGAGCCGAGGACACTGTTCCGTGAGCAGGGGCACAACTTGTGGCAGGTTCCCTGCTCTGCAGACCCCACTGTCCCCAGGAGCTCTAGGAAGATGGCTCCTGGCTCATGCCACCTGCTGCAGGCACCTGCTTATCATCAGAAATTAGCAGCTTCCTTGCAAAGCCTGAAAAGGCACAAATGATCCACGGAGATGTTCTCTTACTGTCACACATGACACAAGACTCACCTCTTAACAAACACTTCTAAAAACAGTGAGCTACAGTTCAGGAAACAAAGGGCTTTCTACAGGCCTCCACTCTGCTCTTCCAGAGCGATCCCCTGGCTCACTGCAGACACACTTCCTCATGTCAGAACTGGGGGTCGCCCTTGCACACCTCCCCTCCTTCCCCACCCTACATCCAACCTGACTCCCACTGGCTCTGCGGTCCACCCACAGCTCTGCCTTGTCCAGCTTGCCCAGGCTGCCGCCTCTTGCATGGACGGCTGCAGCAGCCTCGTAACTGGCCTGGTAACCCTCCTTACAGAGTGATCTTAAAGCCCAGTCAAATCCCACCCATCTCCATTCAAACTCTCCTGTGACTTCCTATCTCTTTCAGAAGGAAATCCAAAATCGCAACCACAGCCTACAAGCTCGGCCGACCCTGCCTACATGCATCTCCTACCATTTCTCCCCTCCTCTGTTCCACTCCACTGGCTTCCCTGCCATCCCTCCATCCACCAAGCACACATCCACCTCAGGGCATTTGCACATGCTTTCCTCTGCCCAGGATGCATTCACGTTAAAGGAGGTCCTGATATGTTTATCAGAAGGTTTTCAAAAGGCTGAGAAACACTAGCATAAAAGGACTGGGCACTCAAGGCAAAAGGGTCAGGAGAGGAAGGTGGCCTCACGGTGAGTGTGACTCCTGGAGGGAGTGAGGATGCCAGCCGACGCTTGGCTGCTGAGAGGGGCACAGGTGAGGAGGAGGAAGGGAGGCACGAAGCAGGAGCGGCAGGAAACCCCTGAAGTCGAGGCAGCAGGAGTGTGGCAGGACAGCAGCACACACTGCTTACCTTGGGGTTTCCAATTTTCCAAAATGGGAAGAATTCTCATTACCTACCAGGAACCAATACAGATACATCCAGGCCCATGGGCCCTGAGCAGCTGGTTGTAATTCATCAGCAGTACCTCTGACCCTGCTGGCAGCTCCACATGACACGAGCCAGAGGTAGAAGCAGCTGTTGCAAAAACGACAGGGCCTGTCCAGCAAAGGCACTGTGGCTACCAGCACTCTTTTTGGTATGAAATGTCCTAAATTAGAATGATAGCTACGTGTACTTGGTCCATGCAGCCATCGTACCTCTCAGCTGGCTTTAAAGACACCAGTAAATGCTTTTATTCTGAAGTCAACATTCAGAGTGGGAGCCAAGCGGCAGAAGAGCAGGCGCTCAGTCATTTGACAGACGATCATTTCTTAAATCTAGAAACACATAAACAGACGACTTACTTGTGAGATCCGATCCCAGAAGGAAGCACTTTAATTCCATTAAACCGGAGGTCTAGCCAAGTAAGGTTTGGCAGTAACTGAAAGAAATCTTTGGGAATCGCAGAGAGGGCATTTCTCTGAAGATACAATTGCTTCCAGGGAAAGAAGAGAGAGTGTTTAGTCAACCAACCAAATTTTAAAACATGACATATCCTAAAAGCATTTCCAAAAGACCTACTAGCAATTGCAACCATACGTAGCAAGTTAAAAGAAAACCCTACTATTTTACCCTATTGAAGTGGTTTAAACAGAAGACGTGAGAACCAGAGAGCACAGGCCGGGCCTCCGGGCACAGGAGCCGAGAGGGACGTCCCCACCGGGACACGCTGCCCCTCCTGGCTGACGGCTCACACGCCACCACTGAGCACAGCACACTTTTTCTACAAATAGCCTTCACACTAAACTATCCTCAAAGTTTATTAAAGTCACTTTTCTCCTTCCTGGCCCCACACTCAGGGCTCTCAGGCCCGGCCGGCCCAGAGCCCCCGCAGCCCGCGCAGCTCAGTGGCCCAACAGCAAGAGCCACGTCTGGTCCTGGGGACTCATCCTAGGGGATAATCGAAAGGAAACCAAAGACACAAGCACCGAGCTACCTGCTGTAGCGCTATCCGTGACAAACAGACACACAAGTCACTCCAGTGACCACCGCTCCAGGAACAGTTCGACGGGACAACTCAGCGGAATCTTAAGTCATCATCATAAATAAGATACAGTCGTGTGTCACTTAACGACAGGGGTGAGTTCTGAGAAACACGTCCTCAGGCGACTTCGTCGTTGTGCGAACACAGAGCGCACTTCCACAAGCCTAGATGGTAGAGCCACCACACCCCTGGGCTGTATGGGACTAATCCTACGGGACCACCGTTGCACACATGTCTGTTGTTGACCCAAATGTCATTATGCGGTGCACGACTGTAGCAGAAGGTAGAAGACAAAATCTAAGACACCGATTTTAGCCACGTAAAATGTATATATATATAATTTTACAGTCACAGTGTGGCAGGATTATGGGTAATTTAAAAAATATCTTCTTTAATGCTGATGTTCTATATATTTACAATGCTTTATATATTATATATGTACATATTTACATATCTCTACCTACCAAGGCCACAGAGTACAGATGTTAAGAGCACCAGCCTGGAAGCCAGGCTGCCTGGGTTCAAACCTAAGAGCTGTGTGACTTTGAGCAAGTTCCTGAACCTCTCTGTGCTCCAGCATCCTTGTTTGTAAAATGGGCAAGGGGAGCTACCTCCTGGGGTGTGCTAAGTGAGCAGTGCTTGGCACACAGGAGTGCTGGGTAAGCATCAGCCATCACGATTATGCACTTTTTCTATGAAAAGACCCTCTGAGCACGGCAGAGAGCACCACCCCACTCCTTTCTGATCACAATTTCTCAACCCCCAATTCCACCTCCAACACCACCTTCCAAGTCCTTTCATGAGTTACAGCAGAAACTTGAGAGACCCTGGCCAGGAAGCCACACTTGTTATAAGTGTGTGGAAGAAAGTCTTCAGTCAGCTCAGACACGGGCACTGGCGCTCCTTGCTGGCAGTGGCACACAGCTGCGGGGAGCAATCTGGTGATTACAGACACACGCGTGGAGCCCTCTAGCATGGCTGCTCTTGGCCCTGGGTTGCACACACACGCGTGGAGCCCTCAAGCGTGGCCGCTCTCGGCCCTGGGTTACAGATACACAAGTGGACACCCCGCACGTGGCTACTCTCGCCCTCGGCTACAGCACATGCATTAAGCTCCTCAGGCCCGCTCTTTCTCTTCAGGGCAAGCCAGTTCTAGTACTCAGCCTTAAGTCACAGACCCTCCTTAATGCCAGAAAAAGGATTCCCAGAAAGATAAGAAAAGACAGCACTACTCTTTGTCAAAGAGCTGGCTCGGGTAAAGGTGAGTTGACTTCACCTGAGTTGACACGGTCCCATGAGACCATGTGACGATGGGGTCCCTTCCTGTATTCCATGATCTGTTGCCATGGTAATAAAATTTATACTGACATCTGTTTTCTGAAAGGCATGAATAGTTACGAAGTTTCTTTATTAAGCCTGAAGAAGGGTTTTGGAATTTCCTCCTTCTTCCTTTATGCAAAAAGGTAACATAAACCTCATGACACTGTTGGATTTTAGAGTTGAGAGCATTTGCTTCATTACAAGTGCCATGTAGGGGGCTGGCCCTGAGGCCTAGTGGTTAAGTTCAGCATACTCTGCTTCAGCGGCCCAGGTTCGGTTCCCAGGCACCAACCTATACCACTCATCGAGCCATGCTGTGGCAGTGACCCACATACAAAATAGAGGAAGACTGGCAACAGATGTTAGCTCAGGGCAACTCTTCCTCAGCAAAAAAACGAAACAACAAAGTGACACATGCCTTACAGGAGCCCTGATGACCCACTAATTCACTCCAAGAGGTCAGTGTTAACAAAAGAAACAGTAAGATCAGTGCTGGCCCTGACACCAAAAACAGGGTGTGCAACACACAATAGTGGGGTTTTACAAATTAAGCAGCTACCTATAATCTAAGTATACAGTTTTTGTAAGACTGTCAATCATCACCATAACGGTGCAATGTGTCGAGTGTGTGCTGTGTTGTGGACACTGTGCTTTATATGCATTATTGTTTAATTCTTATAACAACCCATGAAAATATTCTTGTTCCCATCTTCCAAATGAAGACAAACGAGGTTTAAGGAAATTACGTGGCTACAGAGCAGTGACAACACCGCTGTTGAGGGCGCTCGCCTGTCTCACGTCAAAGCTGTGCTCTGACGGAAGCTTATTCTAGAAATCACCCGGACGAGACAGCACCTGCTGCATTACAGGCAGGTGAAGGCACGACCTGGCGAAGGCACCGGGCACAAGGTAAACCAGCGTGTGACATCAGTAATGTGTGGTTGAGAAACAGTTGTTAACTGTTTGAACACGGCATGGTTTCTTAGGGGTTTTGTGTTTTAAACAGGAGACCAAGGGTGTTTTCGGCACTGGTTTCTATCACGGGCTTCTTGGCACCTGACATTCCTGAGGAGAGAGAGGATATTGGTCTGACTCCATGGGTATTTCCACTGGCTGGTCCCCATACTCGAATTTCTCACTCTGTTGTGAGCAGTACATGAAACTGGGAGCTAACCCTCCCCTCTCTCACTCTAGAATGTCACTCTCCTAAAGAGGAGCCACAAGTAAAACCCACGGGGTTGAACTGTTCATTTCTGCCTACACAGCACATGTGTACAACGCCTGGAGGAATGCCCACTTACTTTAAGGGTGGGGATTTTAAAGATCTCTCCTAAATGGTGAAGACCACTTTGACTCAAGTCTAAGATCGGTGAGGAGGAAAAGACGACCCCCTTAAGACCCTTGTGAACGTCTGTGGAGGGGGAGGCGGGCGTGCTCCTGGCTTGACCAGCGATGCTCTCGGGGTCAGCAGCCCCAGGGCGAACCTTGTAGAAGCTGCTTCCCTCCATCTGTCAGACAGGAAGAAGCAGCCCTCCGGGGCCCACTGCTCATCCTCCTTGGTCTGGAGTCACCTGGAGACAGGGAGGGGAGACGAAGTAACAACTTAGTACACTGACATGACCCTGCAGGCAGATGGGCAAGCTACCTGCCAGGTCTGCAACAATTTAACTTGCTTACGAAACCCTCATTTTTAATAAACAGTATCATAAATTTGACTTTTAAATTTGTAAAAAAAAAAACAAAACAAAACTGGAATGCAACAAGGTTCAGATCAAAATGTTCTGCCGTTCACTTTGTATCGCAGAGTTTCAAGATTCAGATTTAAACTCTTGGAAAACACAATGATGCAAAATAGGAATGGCTGTTTTAGGGACGAAAACATAGCAGAAGGCACCAAACTCAGTAAACCAATGTATTCCTTCCACAAAATGTACTGGGGCGGGGCTCCTAAGTCTGCAGTTTCTTATTTCTGCTGTGGCTCTGTGACATTTCCACCATGCCTTAAGCTCCTTGGGCAGGAAGCCTGCCACTTTCACCAGTTCGGCTCAGTGACCGGCTCTGGGACTGGTGAGCATGAAGTTGGGTGCTGGGGAAAACGTGTCAAAACAGAATCTTGAATTTTAGTTGTTCAGCAATACTTTTGCTCAACACAAAGTGAAAGAACTGTGGCTCACCACAACATCATCAGGTGAGGCATTCTTCCACGTGTAATTTCCAAACAATTTATCCAGCAATGACAATCATCGTTGGAACCTTACGAGTTTTCATGCATAGGTTCATGAACATGATCCACTTGACAGCCCAACGACTGATATGTACGTGTGCACACACAGACTGCGTTCTCATTTTAGGGATGAGGAATACGAGGTTTGGATTCGTTAAGGAACTGCCCAAACGTCAAGCAATTAAGGAGTGGCGTTGACCTCACAGCTGCCTGCACTCCCTGGAGACCCTGGGCCTTTCCCCGGGGGTCCTTTTCTGTGGATCACTGACGACCCTGAAGGAGGGGAGGGAGGTTTCAACCTCCTACAAACCTCTAAACAGGGAAAATATCTTAAAACCGACAGCAAAGCAACAGAGCCTCAAAATGAGGAGGGGGGTGGGCGGGCTCCGCGGGGTCGTAGAGGCTGCTCCAGGTCCCCAGCGCACCCTGCCTCGGTTTCCCCGCTCACGCCAGGCTGGGGTGGCCCCGGCGCTTTGGGCCTCACGTTGCAGTCCTGGGGGCGCAGCCTGTGCGGGGCAGTACCCGGGGCTGAGGCGGCGGGACACGGCACGAGGGGCTGCGGGACGGGGACGTCACCTTCCTTCTGCAGCCCGCCCGCCCACCCTCCGGCCCAGCGAGCTCCGCGCCCCCGCCGCCGCCTGCTGGAGCCCCGCGCTTCACCTGCGGGGCCTCCGATTCACACCCCAGCGACCTCCGCCTCCCTGCCCGGCGCCCCCTACCCCGGAGCCCACCGACCCCAGGACCACCCTCCAGCCGCAGCGCCCCCACTCACCTGCGGAGCTCCGCCCCAGTCGCACGCCGCGCGCCCGGGGGACCCAGAGCGACAACCCAACAATGGAGGCCGCCAGGACCACGCGGTCGCCATGGAGACGCCGGCCATACGGAGGCCCGCAGGCTCCAAGCCGCGGAAGGCGCGCAGCCGCGGAGAATGTGGTGCGCCTGCGCGCGGGGCACCTGACTGGGCTGCAGCGTCTCCGCCAGGGTCCCTAGTGCTGGCCTGTCGCCTGCCATCTCCTCTGCCAGGCGGTGGGTGACACTCACACAGAAGTCGGAGCGTCCGGGCAACTGGGACACGTGTGCCGAAGCCAGAGAGTCGTGATGCACGAGGAAGACGACTGCGGGGCTGCGCACGGGGCGGGGCCTGGGCGGGCCCCTCCGGAGGGCCGCCCCTTAAACTTAAGCACGGCAAGTTCCATTTCGGGCTGACCGACCCGGTGTCAAGAACTTGAAAGTCCTTCCCGCCTTTTAACTTCGCCATCTGCAGCAGGCAGTCCCAGGTCCTCTGGGGGTCACGGGATTGTTGTCATAGATGCGTCGTCACACGGACACCCACCATGCAGGAGAAGAAGGGGCCCTCTCATGTCACAGGGAAGCATCCTTCCCAGAAGCCCCCGGCACTTGCCTCTAAGATCTGGCCAGAGTTGCTTCAGTTTCCTGGACCAGTCACCAGAAGGGAAGTGAGACGACCGCTGTGGTGGCTCAGACCAGTGGGGATTTCCCTGGGGCGGGGCCCCCTTCTCCTAGCACCCAGGTGGAGCGTTGTGGTCACCTGTATCAGTCGGACGCAGAGCCAACAGGGATGATCTCATTACAGGAGCTGTTGCAGGGCTTTGACTTCTGCATGTGGAGCTGGCGGCACGGTCTCTGAAGGCTGTGCTCTAGCTTGGTTCAGAAGCGTGAAGGAGCAGAGCAGGGAGTCGGGAGGGAGGGTAGAGGTAAAGGGGGGGACATGAGGACCGATGAACCTGCAGCAAACTGGACGCAGGCCGGAACTGCCAGCGTGGATCCATCCTGTGGATGTCCTGCAGGAGAACTCGGCGCCATTCATCACAGATTTGCATACCCGCCTAGCTCAGGAGTTGGAGAAGCTAAAAGAGGACTCGGGACGGCAGAGTGCCTGCACACCTGTCTCCCCCCAGTGAGGTGAGCTGGCAGATAAACGACCTGTGTGAGCTGCAGCCACACCTGGGCCCCTGCCCTGCCCTTGCAAGGGTGGAAACATCACGGCTGCTCCCTCACTTCTTCCCCCTCGGATCTCATGCACAATACCTCTCTGTAGCCCAGTTAGGAAACCTGCAGGAAAGAGAATTGTGGAGAAGTAGTTAGCCTAGACATGTTGACACGTCACAAAGCCACCGCAACACCTGAAAATAAATCGGGGATACTGTTAGCAGTGAAGAACGGGGGTGACGGAGAGGGAGGGGCTGCTAAACCCCCATTTGGAGCCCCAAAACGCTGTATTCTAGGAAAGGCATGAATGGGAAAGGCCAAACCTCACGGAGACTGAAGCTCAGCTACGGATCATGTGAAACCCTGATGTGTTGAGGTGGTCTAGGGCACGTGTGCTGTTAGCTCCCTGCCTGAAGCAGGTAGCGATCCTTTCTAGAGGAGGAAGAAAATCCCATCTAAGGTCTGAGATTATCTCCATGGTTTGGGAATGTATAATGTGTGTCACACACAAGGCAACACAAACACATCAAATCAGAGAAACAGCAGAAAACAGAAACTGACCTGTGGGAGGCCCAAATAATGAAGCACTCACTTTGAAACAATGAGGCTTAACATGTTCAAGGAAGTAAAAGCAAGAATGATGCTGAAAACTGTACAAGGAATCAAAACCTGGGATCTAGATATGAAAAATACAGTAACAAGTGGAAACCTCATTGGGTTGGTTTACTAGCAAATTACTTAGAGCTGAAGAAAGAACTGTTGAAATGGAAGAAGAAAATACCCACAAACAAGCAGGAAGAGTAAAGTTCAGAAAAGTCAGGGGGTCGGCCCCATGGCCGAGTGGTTAAGTTCACACGCTCACTTCGGTGGCCCGGGCTTCACCGGTTCGGATCCTGGGCTCGGACATGGCACGGCTCATCAGGCCATGCTGAGGCGGCATCCCATGTAGCACAACCAGAGGCACTCACAACTAGGATATACAACTATGTACTGGGGGGGTTTGGGGAGAAGAAGGAAAAAAAAAGGATTGGCAACAGATGATAGTGCAGGTGCCAATCTTAAAAAAAAAAAAGAAAATTCAGAGAAGATTGTAATCTGCACGGGACACTCAGTGAACAGCCCTCACGCAGCTGGAGCTGGAGGGTCTCTGATAGACCCCGTGCCACCAGCACTTCCTCCTAGTGTCTCCTCTGCATTGCAGAGACCTTGCGAGCTATACTGCCCTGAATCGCTTTTTGGTTTCACCTTGGTCCAAGTTTGCCGCCAAGAGGCTCTTGCATGGCATTTGGAAGGCAGAAGAGGACAGGCTGTTAATTTCTGGAGGCACAAACAAGGAGGATGTGAGGTTCAAAGCAGCTTCCAGGTGGTCCGCAGTGGGACAGGTGGGACGTGCATAGTGTGATCGCTGTGGACGTTCTGCTTCCAAAGGGGAGAGACTGGGAGCCACAAAAGTGATTCCTCTATGCCTGTGAATGTAAGGAAGTCTCTATTTTGACCTCACTCTTGCATGATGGTTTAGCTGATATGGAGCTCCTTGTTGGCAGTTATTTTCTATCAGAATTTTGAGGACATTACTCTCTGAAAGCTGTCATTGCTAAGGAGAAGCTTGCTGTCCGTCAAATTGCCATTTCTGTGAAGGGAATCTGTCTTTTCGGTGTGCTTGGGGTTTTGAAGCTTCACTGCAGTAATTCTAAGTGTGGATTGATTGTCGGTTATGCTGCTTGGCGCCTGATGTGTACTTTCTACCTGAGCTCTGATGTCTGCAGTTGTGGACACTTCTAGTCGTTCTGTCTTCACATAGAATGTGGTCCGTGGGCTGTGCCCTGACCTTGACCCTCTTACCCTGCATCTCCTCTGAGGTTTAATCCACTCAGTCTATTCTCCATGTCTCGAAATTGCTCTTCCTAATTTTTGCCTGTGTTCTGGGCACACTGTCTTCCCTCTCACTAAATCTGTCTCCACTGGGGTCCAATAGAGTTTGTCTCATCTGTTGAGTTGTTTTTTGATGACTTCATTTCTCACTTCTCATTTTTTGAAATCCACTTATTCTTAATTTTTTCCAGTTTTGGTTTTATGATCTCTTTTAAATTTTTATGGATGTTTTCTCTTCTCTTCACCACCGTGAGAATCCTAAACATACTTATTTTAAAGTTGGGTGTAGTATTTTACTTTTCAGACCACTCTATTTTTTTCGTTTCATCCAGGCTGAATTCATCTGCTGCTTGCTGACTCTGTCACCTCTCTTCCTAGAGTCACGTGTTTTGGAATTTAGGCTCTTAGGCTCGTCTTATGTGAGGGGTTTGTGGTCTCTTTCCCTCTCTGTGCCCACCCTTCTGCGTGTCATGGTCTCAGTTGCCTCCATCCAGCCCCCTGGGGCTCTGGGTAGCCAGGTGTGTTACGCTGGGTGCTCAGGGCTCTTGCCCAGCCACGCTGCTGAGAACTGCAGATCCCGTGATGGAGCAGCAAGCGCCCAGGTCCATCCTCTTCTTGACCCGTAGGCAATTGCTACAGATGCTGATTTTCTCTCAGCTTCCTGTTGTCAAGGTGGGAGACTTTACCTGGTGCCCTGGGTTGTTGCTCTCCACTCTCTTGGGGCAGTTTTAGACCTTTTACTGCCCAGGGACGGCCACCTTTCCTTCCCAGCCACCTTGGCTGTTTCTGGGCCCAGAGCCCCACAGGCCAGAGTCTCAGTCCTCCACACTGCCTTGTGTTTCCTTTCACTTTTGGTCTATGAAAGTGTTATGGTTTTTAAATGTTTCTTTTTAAAATTTTCTGTTGTAGCCTTGAATGGAGGGAATCAGGGGAGGGCCTCTGAGTGTGGACTTATAATGCCATCTTTCCCAGGGGAAGTGCATGTTTTTCAAATAAAAGAATTTTGCTCTTCTTTTTTGTTTTTTGGGTTTTTTTGAGGAAGATTAGCTCTGAGCTAACTGCTGCCAATCGTCCTCTCTTTGCTGAGGAAGACTGGCCCTGAGCTAACATCTGTGTCCATCTTTATATGTGGGACACCTGCCACAGCATGGCTTGCCAAGCAGTGCCTTGTCTGCACCCGGGATCCGGTCCGGCGAACCCCGGGCGGCTGAAGCGGAATGTGCGCACTTAACCGCTACGCCACTGGGCTGGCCCCAAGAGTTTTGCTCTTTTCATTTTTCCTGTTTAATTTCTTGGTGTGAAACTGCTAGAAGTTATGTTTGATAGTTTCCCAAAAACTAATATCCACATCAAAAGAAAAGCAAAGAAGCAACCACATTTTTTAAAAAACTTTAAATCTTCTTTATAGAAAGTTGTAAATAAGGACAATAAGTATCTCTAGGTAAGTTTCACAGATTTCAAAAGAGCCAAAAATTATTTTTGGGAAGGCGTTCGAAATGCTTCTCAGCAGCTGGTTCTGTTTCTGCTCTGCTACGGCCATTGTTATAAAATGCAACAGGTGAAATATTCTATTCTTCCTCTAAGAGGACTAAGCAAAGCAAAGATGACCTTTGTTTCCCTATGTGACTCCCTGTGAGAACACCCCACGGGCAGAGGCCTGCGGTGGAGAGCCCGGAGAAGAGCAGGACAGCTTAGGAAGAGCTGGTCCTTCGGCACGTCGGGCAGGGATGTGATGGCTCTGCAGTGAATTTTTCAGATGAACCGAAGCGATGACCTCGCTGCATCACCCAGCTGTGGACTCCATCCTCCTGGCCTGGAGATTTGGGTACAAAACCATTTAGCCCCATAGACCACTCCAACCCGTGCCAATTCCATGGGCTGTGGGCACCCGTGCCCCTCTCCCAGGTTCCTGTGACTTCAGACTTGTGAGGGGGCGGGAGGTAGACAGGGAGGGAGGGCTGGCTTCCCCAGGGCCCCTCTCTTTTACTCTGCACTGACGGATTAGTAAAATCCAGGCATCTTCACAGTCCTCAGAACACCCCTGAAGCCTGGCAGAGGGCAGCCCTGCTCTCGTGCCCCCTGAGC